ATTTCCGTTACCGAGCACATAGATCCGGCGCTCCACCCCCATATTCCATAGATGACGGCACAAATCCTCTACTCCAACGTAATGGCCCAAGCGCTTCAAGCAGACCTGGCCATCGAGGACCTCAAATCGGCAGCTGGATTCAAGCACCGGGACCCGGCGGCAGCTTAATAGACATGAGTAGCGTTCTTGGCGGACGTGCTTTCGGTGATAGCCCCGAACAAATCCTTGACATGATCAGATCCTTACGTATCCCAGGATCAATCGCTCGTAATGGACAAGCTTTACAGTTTCATATTACCGCTGGTCCTGGTCAGTTGCCTAGAGAACTCGAGGCAATGTTTGGAACACGCCGTCCTCGTAATGACAACCACCGCGATACCAGCGAGCCTGGAAGCGCTACATCTTTCTCTACTCAATGTACAGCTGCAAGATGGTCAGAAGAGTCTAAGCTACTTTTTGGACCAAGCAATGTTGAGAACGCTCAAGAGCTTAAGAATGAAATCATGGCAGCGCTCGTACCTCCTGCCATTGAAGCTGACAAAGTTCTCAAGGCAGCCGAACTGGAACGAATCCGCGTATTAGAAGAAGAAAAGAAAAAGCGATTAGAAGCAGAAAAGCTGGCTAGGGAAGCAAAGGAGGCAGAGGAGAAGGCAGCCAGAGAGAAGAAAGAGGCCGAGGAAAAAGAGGCTGCTGAAAGAGCTGCAGCTGAGATGGCGGCTGCTCAAAGTGCCCAGGCCGATGAATCCATTGAAGAGCCTGTCGAGGCGGATAACGCCAACGCAACTGATGCCATGGAGGGTGTCCAGAGTGAAATTCCAGGAGCTACCAATGCAGAAGCACAAGAAACAGAGGTTCCAGCTGCTGATCGTCCTCGAGTAATGACCATGATTCGAAACACGCCATATGATATCACAGACCTGGGCATCGACGCAGAGTTCCTTGCAGAGCTTCCAGAGGATATCCGCGAGGAAGTCATCATGGCTGCTGTTGCCGAGCGACGTCAACAAGCCACTGCGACAGGTTCACAGCCAACCGACATTGAACAGGAATTCCTTGATGCCCTCCCAGATGACATTCGAGAGGAAATCATGCAGCAAGAAGCACAAGAACGCCGACGTCGTGAACGTAACGAACGACGAGAGGCTGCTGCAGCAGCAGGCGGAGCTCCACCAAATGGAGACATGGATCTTCCAAGTATTCTTGCAACCTTCCCACCAGCTCTTAGACAAGAAGTTCTGATGGAAGGTGATGAAGATTTCATGGCATCTTTGCCTCCGGACCTCGCTGCCCAAGCACGTCAATTACGCAGAGGTCAGCCAGATCATGCTGGCCACCCTGGAAGAGCACCTGTAGGCGTCATTCGACGTCCAGCTCCTGGTGAAGAAAGTCGAGGGGCTCCCCAGCAACCAAGAGCTCGTCGGGCGATCGTTCAAATGTTGGACAAACAAGGTATCGCAACACTTTTGCGGTTGATGTTTATTTTTCAACACAGCAGTTTCCGAAGCACGCTCAACTCAGTTTTGCAAAATGTAGCATTGAACAAGCACAACCGTGCCGAGCTCATTAGCACCCTTCTTCATATCCTTCAGGATGGTAGTGCTGACATGACCGCAATCGAGCGAAGCTTTTCCTATCTGTCCGTCAGAGCCAAGCAACCAAGAGAAAAGGATCCTAAGACTCCAACACAAACTCTTCGACGAACACTTACTGGTCTCGGCTCGCTCGCCCAGACGAATTCTGAGGCATCGCCACTCATGGTAGTCCAACAATGCTTGACAGCTTTGGTCTATCTTGCTCAAACCAATTTGCATGTCGCATCGTTCTTCTTGACCGAGCACGAGCCATCTGGTGGACTCAAGCGAAGTCTCAGTCGGAAAGGAAAAGGAAAGGATAGCAAAGCCCCAAGATACGCTCTTAACTCTTTGCTCAGTCTTCTAGATCGTGATTTGATTATGGAGAGTGCAACCATTATGGAACAACTTTCACTCTTACTTAATCTTATCACTAGCCCTCTCATTGCGCTAGAACGAAAGCAAAAAGAGGCTATCGAAGAAGCAGAAAAGGCCAAAGCGAGCGCAACTGCAGCCGAGACAGCCGAAGCTACTGGTTCCGCCGATGCACCCAATCCTGACAACGTTACCGTAGGTGAGAGTGAGTCTACTGAACAACCACCGGTAGCACCAGATGCGACTGCTCCTGTAGAAAACACTTCCGCTGGCTCGACATCTGCTCCAGTACTTCCGACACTCGTCATTCCTACTAGCGCTGATGCCGGCGAGGCCTCCGTCGTCCCAGATACTGACTCTTCGAAGCCCGAGGATGCTTCTAAGCATGAACAGAAAAAAGTCCATGTTTTCACTCCTCCTGTTGTTCCAGAACACAATCTTCGCCTGGTTACCAATATCTTCTGCTGTGAGTGCAACTCAAAGACCTTCCGCGAGACATTATCAACCATTAAGAATCTTTCAACGATTCCTGGCGCGAAGGCCATTTTCGGAAAGGAACTTATCGCCAAGGCTCGAGCATTGGGAGAAGTCATATTAGTAGATCTCGAGGACCTTCTTCCTCAGATCCAAAAAGCTAGAACCGGAACTGAAATTCAGGGCGTCGCATTAGCCAAGTTCTCACCACCGGCGTCCGACCAGCACAAACTTCTACGTGTTCTCACTGCGCTAGATCACTTGTTTGATCCTAAGCGTGAAAAGAAAGATGATGCAGCCAGTGAAGCAGAGTTTTCCTCTGAGATTGTCGAAAAGCAGGATCTTGTGTCTAGCCTCTACGAGAACTCCACCTTTGGCCCAATGTGGGAGAAATTAAGTGCTTGTCTCAGTACAATTAGGCAACAAGATCACATGCTTAGTGTCGCCACTATTCTTTTACCTTTGATCGAATCCCTTATGGTTGTTTGCAAGAACACTACCTTGAAAGACACACCACTCAATCGAAGTGCAAAGAATAAGGAAATGGTTCTTGCTAGTCCCGTTCCAGAGTCTCGAATGGAGAACTTGTTCTTCACGTTTACTGAAGAGCATCGAAAGATTCTGAATGACCTAGTCCGACATACTCCAAAGCTCATGTCTGGCACATTCTCTCTATTGGTAAAGAATCCTAAGGTTCTCGAATTTGATAACAAGCGTAACTACTTCAGCCGCAGCATTCACAGCCGAAGTCAAGGTTCTCGTGCAGTTCCTCCACTACAATTGTCTGTCCGTCGAGAGCAGGTATTCCACGACTCTTTCAAATCTCTATACTTCCAGACTCCTGATCAAATGAAGTATGGCAAGTTAAGCATTCGTTTCCACGGAGAAGAGGGTGTTGATGCAGGCGGAGTTACTCGTGAATGGTTCCAAGTTCTCTCTAGGCAAATGTTCGACCCTGGCTATGCTCTTTTCATCCCCGTGTCTTCTGACCGTACTACTTTCCATCCAAATCAATTGAGTAGTATCAACGAGGAGCATCTAATGTTCTTCAAATTCATCGGTCGTATCATCGGAAAGGCATTATACGAAGGTCGTGTTCTTGATTGCCATTTCAGCAGAGCAGTTTACAAGCGCATCTTAGGCAAGGCTGTTTCCGTCAAGGACATGGAATCTTTGGATCCAGACTATTATAAGTCACTCATATGGATGCTTGAGAATGATATCACGGACATCATTACCGAAACCTTCTCCGTCGATAACGACAAATTTGGCGTTGTGGAGACCATTGACTTTATTGAAGACGGACGCAATGTTCCAGTGACAGAGGAGAACAAGCACGAGTATGTTCGATTGATGGTCGAATGGAAACTTACAGGATCTGTCAAAGCACAGCTTGATGAATTCTTAAAGGGCTTCCACGATATTATCCCAGCTGAACTGGTTTCGATTTTCAATGAGCAGGAATTAGAGTTGCTCATTTCTGGACTACCTGAAATTGATGTTGATGACTGGAAGAGTAACACTGAATACCACAATTACTCGGCATCTTCTCCACAAATTCAGTGGTTCTGGCGTGCCATTCGCTCATTCGACAAAGAAGAGCGAGCCAAGTTGTTGCAATTCGTCACGGGAACCAGCAAAGTACCCCTTAATGGTTTCAAGGAGCTGGAGGGTATGAATGGTTTTAGTCGATTCAATATTCACCGAGACTATGGCAACAAAGAAAGACTTCCATCTTCTCATACTTGTTTCAACCGTAAGTTACACTCTCAAATCATATATCTAGTCATATGCTAACTCAACCTCTAGAACTCGATCTTCCAGAATATGAAAGTTATGAGACCCTTCGCGCTCAAGTTCTTACTGCCATTACAGCAGGCAGTGAATATTTCGGTTTTGCATAAACATCAATTGCAAGGTCGAACATCTTTTTCCTAATTATGATATCATGCATGGCAGGCTTATGATCAGCATTTGGCGGCGTCAAGCTTTCTTCTTTTGGCGATATTTATGAGGACAAGGTGGTCTTCTATAACCAAAGTGATGGTTTTACGGAGGACGGGTTTGCTTTTTTATGGGTTGGAGGATATGAAACTATGCGATATTAGCTAGACAGATAAGGTGATGGATGAGGATGAATGGTTATATTTGGTTTGAGATCTTCGGGGAAGGATTCTTTCAAAGCGAAGTGCAGGTCGTTTAAAAGATGATTTCCCAGGGGAGGATGATTAGATAGATAACCCATCAGACACAAATTTCCAGAGGGGAAAAATGGCAAATGTAAAAAGTAGATAGCTTTTAGTAGTTAGTTAGCATACGGAATTATCATAGATTGATGAATTCGAATATGTTGACCGTGTTTGGTCTAGAAATATGAGAATAGAATAACGTGATTAGCTACGAGTAGTAACGAGAGCCCCTCTGTCATATCATACATAGGTAATCTCATAATATGATGTTGTGGAGTTTTGATTGGCCGCGTGGTTGGTTACCACAGGGCTAGAAAACGGAAAAAGCCGATCATTCGGCACGGACGTTATCTTTTTCGAAACCCCGCAAAAATTATTTCTCTCAAATGTCAATGTCAAAGGGTTCATTCATTTCTTACTCTACGGCTTCCTTTTTCTTCATAGTTCATATTTCAGACATTTGACTACCACACAACACAGAGTAACGTCAAGAATATTCTCAATCACAAGAGCTGATTGAATTTCTGTATACGACCGACAGGACGAACTTGCGCATATTAGAAGGAGGGATCCAATAGGACGTTGAAATTGATTCTGATACATTCAGAACAAACATATACTCGAGAAAACTTAGTTGCATTAGAGATTATTGTGCAGGTACAAGAAAACTGTAAACCTTACACGGAATCTGCGAACGAACGGACAACGAATAGGACGAGGCGAAAGGAAACGTGCGCTACCTACTGCATTTGCGACTATAATTACGATTGCGCATCTGAGAGGAGACTTGTCTATAGCTGCGACTGCGAGTTGATCAACGATACGAACGAAATATAGAGGGAAAAAGAAACAGAGAAGAAAAAGAAAGGAAAAGAAGATAAAATGGCGACAAATTCAATCAAGTTACTCACGGGTAACAGTCATCCTCAGTTGGCAAAGTTGGTTGCTGATAGGTGGGTTTATTTTTATTTCTTGCTTTCATTCTTCGGGATGAGCGGGTTGTTTTGGTGATACGGGATGAAATATATTTGCTTCAGGGTGGTGGAATGACGAGCGCTTGGATCTGTGAATGGGGGTTTGAAATATTGACGAGAGATGAGCTATTCGAGTGCCAATCTTAAGGATGGAGATGTGAAAGAAGATGCTAACGAAATGCATTTCGCAGATTGGGCATTGAGCTTGCAAAGACTATGAGCTTGAACTACTCAAATCAAGAGACCAGCGTCACAGTAGGAGAGAGTGTCAGAGATGAAGATGGTTAGTTCTCCTGGCCCCTCATTCCATCGCATACCCGAAGTCAAACTTCTAAACCTCACTCTCTAGTCTTCATCCTCCAATCCACCGCACCCGGCGATATCAATGATGGGCTCATGGAACTTCTCATCATGATCAATGCTTGTAAAACTGCCTCAGCACGTCGCATTACAGCTGTCATCCCGAACTTCCCCTACGCACGTCAAGATAAGAAAGATAAATCCCGCGCTCCTATTTCTGCGAAACTTATTGCAAACATGTTGCAAACGGCTGGCTGCAATCATGTTATTACTATGGATTTACATGCAAGTCAAATTCAAGGTTTCTTCAATGTTCCGGTCGATAATTTGTATGCGGAACCAAGTACTTTGAGATGGATCAGAGAAAACTTGGAGGTTAGCAAGTGTGTGGTTGTTAGTCCGGATGCGGGCGGTGCTAAGAGGTGAGCCAATTCTCCTCATGTTATCCGAAAGAGTACCAGTATATCTGCAAGGCGCAGGATCTGAATAGGACGGAGCAAGTTTTTTCAAAACGAGGAGCAAAATAACTAACGAAATCCTTAGAGCAACCTCCATCGCCGACCGTCTTGACCTTGGCTTTGCCCTTATTCACAAAGAGCGCGCTCGTCCTAACGAAGTATCCCGTATGGTCCTTGTCGGTGACGTTGTAGACAAAATTGCCATTCTCGTAGACGACATGGCCGATACCTGCGGCACCCTCGTCAAAGCCGCTGAAACTGTCATGGAACACGGTGCCAAGGAAGTCGTCGCTATCGTAACTCACGGAATTTTGAGCGGAGCAGCAATCGAAACATTAAACAAGAGTAAATTGAGCAGAGTCGTTGTTACAAACACAGTTCCTCTGAGAGGAAAGGAGGAGACTTGTGGAAGATTGAGAGTTATGGATATCAGCGCGACGTTGGCCGAGGCAATCAGGAGGACGCATAATGGAGAGAGTGTGAGCTTTTTGTTCACTCACGCACCTATGGATTAAGGGGCTATAAGATGTGGTCGCAAAGACACTGGAAGATAGATCAAAAAATGGTTTCTTGGGTTTCACTCGGGGTTTGTGGGTAGGCATGTAGATAGAAATTTACTAGGAAAAGAAAAAACAGCAGTGCGGATTGCAGAAGATGGGATTCTCTCTCTTCTTTTTGTAATGCAATATCCGCTTTGCGTGGGGTCGTAGAGGCCTTACTCACTTACATAGGCACGTTTAAATATGTTAGATAGGGTCTTCTCCATATATACATAGGTGTGCGGGAATCAGAGAAATTTTAAATGCATCGATATCGGTTTTTTGTTGTGTATGTGTGTGTGTGTGTGTGTGTGACTACCAGGTACCTAGGTACTTATGTGCCTTGATAGGGGAGAAGAGAAAGAGACGATATCTAGATTATCTAAACTACTTGTATATTTGATTCTACTGAATGTTGTTTCTTGTAAAGTTACAAACAATCAATCTTACCAATCGATGTTGCTCCAGAGTTTTGAAATGAAGACATATCAAGATCAGGCATTTGTTTTATTTTGAATAAATTTCCTATTTTAATTTTGATGTAGCTCATACATCTTCCTTCCTTACATTGTTGGTCTAGGATTCTAGGAGAACAATATGTGGATTCGAGGCTATTTTAGTTCGGTAATTTGCTAGAGTCTGGCCTGTCATTTATCTTAAAGAGCACTAACCGAGCAAGTGTTTGGTATAATATCCATTCAACAAGGAAAGGTTGGGCAAGGCAACAAGATTGGAGAATAGCATAAACAGAGCTGGGATGTGTAAAGTGAAACGAGTCGTGAAAGGGGAGATGGTCAAAAAGGAGAAACCGAAAGACGAGATTTCAGTATGAGGGACGATCCACTGCATTTGACAATATATGGGAATATCAAAACATATTAATAGCACATCATTTGCATTCCAGAAACGCCGTCCTAAGAAGTAATATGCAGTCCATTTTAAATTGGTATCTAGCATCCTGGTATAATGCTTTTTTGACCTGTTGAACCCGGCTGAGAATTCATTCCACTCGCCAAACATCCAGAAAGACTGCCATTTTATTACCCATCGTGAAAACCCTCTACTTACGCATAGAAGAAGCTCTGCGCTTGCGGGCATCAACCTTGGCGTTCTTGGCTTCAGAGACACGCTTGGCGAGGATAGCGGCGTACTCGTTCTGGAACTATGTTAGAGGATAAATTTCGGAAGAATAACGGTTCGACTTACGGCAGCATCCTTGGTGCGCTCAGCGTTACGACGCTTAAGTGCGAGTCTATGACGCTTGTGTTGGAGACGTTGAGGGGTGACCAAACGTTGGATCTTTGGTGCCTTGGTGTAGACCTTCTTTCCCTCACCCTTTGGTTGAACCTCACGACGGATAACAAATTTACGGACCTAACCCAGATATATCAGCATAACGCTTTGGATTTACTTCTCACACTCCATCCTCAAGCACCAGCACGAAGCGGTTGAGAGTGATGGGCGGAATGATGTAGGGAAAACGTACATCATCCTCCTTGGTGAGCCCAAAGAACTTTCTAATCTTGGTGGCACGCTTGGGGCCCAATCTCTTTGGGTGGACAACGTCGGTGACACCTGGGATGTCGCTCTCTCCTTGCTTGACAATGCTCAAAGCGAGAACGGACAAATCCATGGCGACGATGCATCCACGGACGGATTTACGCTTGCGCTCACCAGTTCGGCGTGGGCGGTAGCAAGAGTGACCCTCGGAAAGGAGAAGTCTGACACGGGTTGGGTGCATAACACCTTGCTTCATTGGGAAACCTTGCTTGTCGTTACCACCGGTAATCTTGAAGATGTATCCCTTGAACTCGTCTCCGACGGAGTCTCCTGGAACCTCAGCGCCCATTCTGTCGAACAAAAATTAGATTCTTTCGTTGTGCTCGGTGTCGCGAGAAAATATACCTCTTGTCCATGAAGACACGGAGCTTGCGCTCGTCTTCGATATCGATGAGCTTTTGACTGCCATTGGCAGGCTATTGAATATTGTCAGTTCGAATTCTTCGATCGTGTTCATTTAACTGGGTTCGAAACGTACGAATGAAATGTTCTATCAATCAAAACATGTTAGCAGATACTCAATCAATCAATTCCAGCATAATGAAATACATACCAACTTCATCTTGACGGTGGTAAGTGGTCAAGTGGTCGAGGTTGTCGTCGGTGATTTGTCGCTGAGAGGAATGAAGACTTCGAAATTTTGGAAAGTTCGAAATTCTCAGTGCGAGACGCTAGTATCGTTAGCGCGAATTTCAATGTGGATCAACAACCGAGATCATGTGATATGTGGCATCGGGTCGGTCAAACATTTTGCCAGACCCCTACGAACATGCTCGATAATTTCTTGAGAATTAACAAATGTGGTGTTGACTTTACGTCGCGCGAATAAACTGTGATTGAATCTTTTGTCGAGCACAAATTATCATCCCAAAAGCCTCAAACATGATTCCCCTTCACACGAGTGTTGATCAACCAATTGAAACCATACAAAATCCACTACCGAGGCTTCTTCAAACCCCATCTGGACTCGCACTGCTAGAGCTTCAAGGAACGATAAATCTTCCAGAACCGGATATTGAGGATGATGACCCATCGAATATTTCAAATTCTTCAGAACAAAGTTTCCAGACTCCGATTGGTCGCCTGATCTTCCCCGAATATGACCCATCAAATCCAGATAATACTAAGTGGATGAAGCGTGTCTATCTCTACGTGGGCAAGCACCAAAGACTCACGGGAGAGGTCAAAAAGCTTCCAAGAGCTTACGCTGTTATTAGGAAGAGGAATCGTGAGATATCCTCACAGACGAATGGTGATGTCTCGATGCGAGGGTCCGAGTCAGAGGTTGGGGACGAATTGGAAATCGTTGAAATTGTGAAATGGAAGATTCTATTTTCAACAAGACCAGAACCAGTAGGAGCTATGGTCACTGATACCACTTGAAGTTTGGAGTCATCAATTATTCACTCGAGAAAGAGGAAATGCTCTCGAAGCATCATTGCCGTTTCAATGGCCATGATTATATGGCCAAGAGATCATGGACAGGCTACGCGCCACTCAGCCCTCTCACACTATGGATCTCCATTACCCACAATATTGACTTGATTGTGGTATTTCAATGTCCGTTAGCATTACCAGAGAACCACTCCAAGACAAGCGGGTCCTTGACCGGGGTCTTGTAGCGAACACATCCCCGAAAACAATGTAAGGGAATGAATCGTGTTCCTGAAGCTTTAAACTTTGATATTACTAGCTGGGGAAACTCTTCAACCTTTTTACATGGAGCTATGAATGATTCAGAACGGCGTCGGGGGTGAGATCGGACGCACTGTTCGAATGATTCTCGTTCTACGAATGGAATCTAGTGAATAATGGGAGAGATATTTTCGAGTTCGCTTCATGCCATGACTCTTATATTTGATGCATTGAATCACAGTCACATATATGAAATCTTTTCTGTTAGAAAGTAACGATGATTAACAAACCCCATTTGAATTATGATTCAAAACAAATTGCTGTAAGCAACGGATCAGCAGCCATTACGCAATAAGAATCATAGATAAATCATGGAATTCGGAATCATTTTCATTCATATGGAGATTTTTTGGAGGTCTCTTTGTTGAGCTATTTTAAGGACACTTTCTTCATTCTTTTCTTGCTTTCAATCCTCCGTCAAAACATCTCCGATAACCCATATCGTCAAATAACAGATAAGTAAAAGCTTTAACACAGCAGTCTACCGAGCATCCTTCAACATGAGGTTCATCCTTCCACTCTCGTTGTCCCTCATGGGCTTCGGCCTATCTGTTGTACATACTTTCATGGACTCTCATGTCGAAGTCCTTACACCTACTCGCCTCAAGCAACCCTCTATTATATCATCATTATCTCTTCTCCCAACAGTCCAAAATATCGCCTTTCTAGCCACCCTCCCGGCACTGGGTATCTATACACTAGCTCTGATCAGTATCGGCATCATGCCAAGCAACGTACAAGCACTCTCCTTTGGACCAGGCGGTCTGGATCATACGCCACATTTGCCGCCAAGCCCACTTGCGTCAGCCCATAAGCAACGAGCACATCCTAGAGATATTTCTGTTGTAGCCACCAGCATCATGCACGAAAATTCCTACCATGTAGCTGAAGCTTTGATCAAGAAATTTGGAGACTTGCTCAGACGCGTTAATAGCGAGCATGTCGAATTCGAGAGCTCAGGAAGTCTTCTAAAGTTTGCCGCTTTGGGTAGGGACAGTGCAGATAAAGGTGAATCAACAAATATCGACCCACATGAATCATGCACAGGCTCGAGTGATCAACATCATGTTACAAAATCAGGTCCGTATACCTAGTCTTGATTTTGGCATCGCCAATACTAACGATCCATGATACAGATCTAAAAATTCAACGCAACAGCAATACGCTTCAGTCTGGAGGTTCGTGAGAAAGTCTTTTTGACGCTTTAAATACGTCCGATACTGATGAGTGTTTTCCCACAGATGTGAAGTCCGGATCACTCATTTCGAGAAGCCGCTGGCAAGATTTTATACATCTCTGCTGGGGTCTAGGGGCGCATTATGACCCACATAAAAATAGGTGTGATGGTGACTGATTATATTCGTATGGATATGATATTGGGGGATTTGGCGGTTAGGGGAATGGTGAGCGGCTTGCTTGATAATCTATATGGGGTGGTTTTCCGTTATGGTGTTACTGCTGGACAGCAATAAGGGCTTGTAGCTGACAATCCAGTCATTATCCTTTGGGAATAGCGTTGTTAAATTTCAATATTTCCAACACAATTTTGAGTTTCAAACGACAAGTCTTATATTGCTCGACCATAGATCAAGTATTGAAAGGGTTGGATTAATCATGCTGTATGGTGTGGCGGTTCTGCATCGGTATTTTCACGTTGCTCATTATCTGATGCACCCCTACTTCATTCTTTCACCACTGAATCTCCATTCAATATACTTGTCATTCAGACGATACTTCTCGGATAGTCATATGATTCTCGATCATAGCAGTAATTCACTACAGGATCTTATCTCATTTCGCTTTCAAATTTTCAGTTCCTTTGGTCTCCCACAAATCCCAAAGCTTTATCACACAAATAATTCCATCACCAAGCTCAACCGATGTTGCATTGAGCGGGAAAATACTCGACAGAAAATTGCCAGCATAAGTTTTTGTACTAATACGACGGAGGGTATGGACAATATGGACATCGATGGAAATGGTATAGATGGGATTGGTGAGGGCGCAAATGTGACCAACACAGTTGAGATGGAGAATGATATTTCTATGGAAATGGATCAATCCGCAGATGACAAGGGTGCAGAATGCACATGTGAACCAAATGGACAGCATAATGGTCTGTATGACACATCTCCTGCAACAGAAAGTTTGCAAAACTCGACCATCACACGTACGTATTTCGCACTTTTTTCTATTTCGCAATGACATCCAACTGATCCTGCAATAACAGCGGTCATAGCTTCCACAAAAATAAACCGTACACAGAATATAGTACAGATATCCCCTCAGCCTGGAATTTTCCGTCGATTCCGCGACTTTCCAGCAGAAGTTCGCTGTATGATATGGAAATATCACGCAGAAGATGAAGAAGACTTCGGAGAACCGCGCACGCTCACCATCATTGCAAAATATTCTGGTGAGAATACCAAAAATAATACACGATGTAATTACGTTATGGAATTATTACATCGCATGGAGCTCACCGACGAATATAACACTCGTTCCTTTCAAAAGAATGTTAAATGCCCATGAACAGCACAACCCGCACCATCGTACAAGATGCCAGCTTCTCTATACGTCAACAAAGAAGCACGATATGTTGGTCAAGGACTTTATTTAAGGAGTCATTTCCTGATGTCTATTCTCGAAACCGAGAAACCGGTCTATTTTCGCGAGGACCTGGATATACTTCATTTTTCGGGCTGGTTCACCTTCAATACTTTTTGTGTACAATTTACATTTATGCAGACGAAGGAGACATCCGTCAGGCTTGCGATGGAAGCAAACCGTCGCGTCATAATTCCTTATGATGAGGAAGATATTCCGTTGCATCTTCGATGTGTCGTTTGCATGCATAATAATCGGGGTTGGAATCGTCCAAATCCTTGTGTAAAATGACAAGACTTGAATCCGAGAGAACGTCTAGATGACTACATCAAAAATGTTGCCGTGGGAACGGAATCATTTGGACTATCCGAGCGAATCAATGCTGAAAAATTCGCAGTCAAGCAGACCCAAAGAATGCAAAAACTGCGAATAAAAGCACTTCAATATATGAACTGGGGCTTTAATAAGCTTAACACTTTAGTGCTGGGAATGGATATTCATTTGGTTTCGGATACGATGCATCAGAGAAGACCTGAATGGGTGGAAGACCGCTGGAGGTTCAAAGAGGATATCATGAAATACTTGACAGACAAGGCGTTTGTGGAGATAGAATTTTTGTCGAAGAAAGAAAGAATTCGTAGAGAGATTTGGAGATTGGGATCCTCGGATTAAGCTTGGCTGGTAAGCACTGGGAGTGATGGGTGACAGTGAGATTCATTCAAGAGATCAATACTGTATCGTGATGGTTTACTGCCGTTGGAAGGCATAAGAAGAATTTGTGATCAAAAATTAGCATTAGACGTATAAGTCAAAAGTGGAGAAAATGTTTCCTCTAAGAGGAATATCAAAAGAGATTTGTGACCAACAAGAACGCCATATTTTCAAGACTACATTATCATTTTATGTATTATACATCAGAAACTCAATGATTTTTGGCCTTTTGTGTTGTCAGTAAGTTGTCAACCCTTCAACGATATGAGTTTTATGGCTTACTTGATAAGTTTCAAACTTGAAAGAATACGTGATATATCCGCCTACACTCTTCGCTGAGACACGTCTGGTATATGTCTAACACTCCACACTAGCGTTTGATCAGGTTGTCAACATAGAGCTTGTGTTTCTCTGTCCACCAGCTTCTTTTTGCCCTTTCCAGTGCAAAACTATGTGAATATCGACATAGTACGTGTGTATATGATATATACATATGGATGACTTTCGCTTAGAGTTGGATATTCTCAAATCAACACTTCATGACCCCAAGTGGCAAAACAATTTTGACCTCGAAATTTTGAAGGAATCCTGCAAGTCTTTAATCAAACATCCAATCACCGGTTTGACGCCCAGAGTTCCCACCGTAGAAGAAGAATACTTAGGCATTGGATTTCGACCTGAACAGAAGAGGTGATGTAATGTTTTCGGTTCAAACGAATGTAGAACTCATGGATTCGAGGCTAGGTGTACACTTCCAGTTTTGCTTCGTGATGAGAGGTATATCCGTAATGGCGTTGATCACTTTAGAGGATGTAATCATATTTTTCAACCCTCATTCGCACATTCTACTGACCTTGACTACATTGTCAAACCTCGACATACGCGTTATGCCCTATTTGTGTCTGTCAGAAAGATGTCCTCTGAAGCAAGATTGAATTCTGATCTTAGCTTCATCTTTGTCACATGGTCGACGGAGCGATAGAGCCGCTCAAGGAAACTTCAAGAAGATTCGGGATCTCAACACATATACTCACTTACCAACGAGACAATCTTCACTTTTTGATTTCACTTTCCAATGAGTAGGTAATGTTTGCCGACTTGATCTTCCATCTTGTTCCAGTTATAGATTGGACAGAACCTCGTGATCGATATAAATTTAATACGCGTCATGATAGAAATCTACCTCGCTTACGTCATTGTAGTATTTTCTTCTACCAGCCATTTGGGGCTGGTGGAGGTATACTAAGAATTAGCTCCTACTCACAATTTATTTAATTCTCGCAATTGATATTCTTTGCCCAAACATACCCCAAAATCTCAGCTCCAAATTCGGCAAAGTTTTCGAAATCATTGTAATCCTTGCAACATTCTCTACAATTTAAGATTCTAAGCGACATCAAGACATATTATTCCAGGTGCAGGTTCGAACAGCTGCGAGAAAATTGTATTATAATATCCAAATTCCTACAACGTGTCAAAAATATTGTACGTTCCAACCTTAAGCTCGAATTTTCGTGTCCCAGACCCCAATATTCTTTTACTTGCCAAGAGATCACCCTTCACTGTGATTATACCTTAGGAATCTCGGACTTTCAGGTCGACTCATATCCTCATCAGTCTTACCCAGAATAGTTCACGTCAAATTGAATTGGCGAATCAGTATGTCTACTCAAGTAACACAAAGTCGTACCTCGCGGGGACCTGCCTCATTTTCGCAACTTCCTTCTGAGATTGCGGAAAGGATTTTCAGGTACTCTTTACCAGGTCCTCGGATCATCACCATCGATGTAAAACACAGTCGGATGGAAGATTCTGAAATCGGGGATGGCCTTGCTCTGGATCTGAAAAAATCCCGGGAATCCTGGGAGAAAAAGCGGGAGGACAAACATTTTAGAGAAAAGCTGGGACTCCATGATCCGAAAGATCACCACATGATCTTAGAAGTGGAAAGGGCCTTCGCTATTCAGACCATTCCAGCTTTATTACACACTTGTTCACTATCAAGAAAAATAGCTCTGGAATACTATCAATTTTGGGTCCGAGGAAAACATTTGACAATTTGCATCGATTTCAACATTGACACTCTCCACTTTGAAAGCTATTTCGCGTGGAAATACTTCACGCGAAATTTAGGAGAATTCTGTGGTAGAAATCTCCGTACCGTTATGATCGCCTCAAATAGCCAGTGGGGGTACAAAGATGGAGATCGATACACTATAAACTACAACGTGCTTTTGAACAATCTCCTTGATGAAAAGTACACTAAACAAAGATGTTATTACGTTAGATCAGACGATGATTTTATCGACGAGATGGCCGAGAAAGTGAAGTTTCTGGCTCTTGGTGGAGAAGCGGAGTGGAGCTGGCGCCCAGACTGGGCAGAAATATTAAGAGATTTTTGGAAGCTCAAAAAGATATGGTGGAGATTCATGGACGATAAATCTGTCGAAGATGGATTAAAACAGGAGTGGAGAAGACTAGCTGCAGGTATTGACGATATATCAGAGTGGTTTGCCAGAAAAAAAGAGTTCGCCCACGTCACAATACCAAAAACTCAGCGCATCAGCTTCCAAGATATACAAACCAGGCAGAGACTCGGCGAAGGATTCGATATTGAGTAGTGAGATACATGTGCTACCATAATACAGGGTCTTGGATAAGGATCTGGAGGGCTCTCGAGCTATTTCAAGAAGTGATGCTTATCTTGGTATAGAACCAACTGGGATCGTATGATTTTCGATTCGTCTCGAGGCCAAATGGCGCAATCGAATGTTGCTACATTTATGAGTTTCGTGGTCTATCTCGTCGGGACTGCAAAAAGGAGTTTCTGTCAATTTGGAGAACATATAATGTGTAATGGGTGTAATTAGTATCTAACGAAGGCAGAAGATATCATCGCCATGGTTGTAGGATCTCTCGAAAATGTGCACATGCATATTTGAAATTAGCTTATCCAAATTTGGTTCTTCATATCTAGATCAGTAGTGAATAATGAATTTGTCTAAATCAGAAAGCTTGAATGGTGCAACTCAAACTTTCGTGATGAAGAAGAAATGCCAATAATTACATTCGAAGTCAGCCCAAACAAGGAAAGGCTTTGGGGTGAGAAGTAATGATGTTGTCGTCGAATTACATACATTTGTGTAAGCATTGACTAATCAGCGACTGAGTGATCCACTGCATTATTCACTTCCCCTTTCCACAGTCACAGTTGACTCACTGAATACTCTATACTATTCTCATCATGTTTCAATACAAATGCGCAGATTATCTAATGATTTCATCATGCAAACTCTATGCGATACCACATGAGACGGGGTTTTCAACATGAAAATTGGACCAACAGTTGGGCTGACCAATCGTGAGTTTTTGAGACAGTTTGATATTCCACCGATGTTCAAGGAAAGTCTTCGAGATTCGACATATTAGACGTGCTTCATGAAGCGTTTCTCTGTATCCTCTTGCTTTCACAATTGTATATCGCTTTCGATATTCATTGCTGATTATTTACATTTCATCTCCTATTAATTCCTCGCGTTCTCTACGATCACCACCTAACTTTCTCGCCAACATCATCTAGTTGTATCCACCACAGCACAAAATCATGGGCCACCCCTCTCTCATATTTGGTGCCGCATCCACTGGAATGTATTTCAGCACCAAAGAAACCGTGCAAGATGCTCTCGAAGTTTTTAATGCGTTGAATATTTCTCAGATCGATACCGCTGGAAGATATCCACCCACGAATCACGGAAGATCCGAGGAGCTACTTGGAGAAGTAGGAGCTGCATCTCAAGGCTTTTCTATCAGTACGAAGATTCTTGCTACAAACCTTAATTTTGGAAGTGGTGAGCTTGAAGCTCCGGCTATACGGAAGTCGCTTGACAGAAGTTTTAAGTGTTTGGGCGTTGACCAGGTGTGTTTTTATCATGATTATTGTGATCGAATGGTATCGATCTGTTTTTACTGCAAGGTCGACATTTTATATTGTCATCAACCTGATCCAACGACTCCGTTGAAAGAACAAGCAGCAGCCCTCAACGACCATTTCCAAAAAGGATCTTTCAAGAGGGTGAGCTGCTCGTACCATGCCTGAATTTCCCAAGTCCAGATACTAATTACCCAAAGCTCGGAGTTTCCAACTTCTCTGCTAAGTTACTTCAAGAATTCATCCAAATATGCGAGGAAAATGGCTTCGTGAAACCGTCTGTATATCAAGGCGATTTCAATCTCATAACTCGAGGCATGGAGAAATAGTTACTGCCTATCCTCCGAGCACACTTGATATCTTTTTTTGCATTTAGGTAATTCGCTTACCTTCCTATTCGACCGACTACTGATCAAAATCACATCAGAGCTCTAGCGGCAGGTTTCCTAACCGGAAACTTCAGCGCGGGAAAATCCGACGGCACCCGATTCAGCGACGGGCATCCACTCGGAAAAGCATTTCAAAACCTCTATGGAGCTCCTAGATTGCAACAAGCGATGAAGAATCTAGAGACTATTTTAGCACCATTAGGTATTTCTGGAAGAGAAGCTAGCTTGAAATGGATTTACCATCATTCGAAACTGGGAGATGGGGATGGGATCATTCTGGGTGCTAGAAAAATTTCTCAGATAAGAGAGAATGTTATGAGTATATCTGCTGGACCGCTGTCTGAGGAGGTGGTGCAGAAGATCGAAGGGATTTGGGATTTGTTGGCCGAGGATAGAGGTGAAATTTTGTAGATTGTGTGATTTTGGGAAGAGAGGAGATTTTTGCGGTTCTCTTGAATCAGAAAACATTGTGATTATGGGTATATTCTACATACCTCAAAAAAATGAGAAACTTTCGTGAAGACAGTAGATCTTAACTTTTGATAGATATCAAAGACAACTTGAAAGCTTCCAAGAACAAGCAATCCTCACATCTCAAAAATCTACAAAGTTTTCCCCCAAACTTCAATTACTTCAAAAAAAAAAAGCTTATCCCATATTATGCAGAAGATCTCAATAGTAAACATTAAATATAGAACATCAAGATTTATCCCCCCTTATTACACCATCCCCCTATGCCTAGAAACCAGACCGATCTCAACCTCACTCTTTACCCAAACAAACTCCCAAAAGGCCCGAATACAGATCTGCAACAAAACGAAACAATCTGGACCCCAGACTTCGACTTCAACTTCAGCCCATCTCATATCCAAAAGGCCCGAATATAGATATGCAACAGGACAATCTTGTTGATCCTCCATCCTCAACAAAGAATCTTTCAATTACTTTCACTTTCACTTTCCAGGATATTTTCAATCAGCCCGAAGTCTAAAAGGGCCGAATAGAGATGTGCAACAAAATGGAATAGAGTGTTTGGTATTTGTTTGGAAAATCTGACTAATGGGGGTAAGCTTACTTTATTTTGTTTGTTTACTGCTCACTGTAGAAAAGATTGATGGAGGATGTAAGATGACGAAGTGTGTAGCTCCTATTATTATGAAGATTTGAAGATTTGCTTTGCATTATATGTAGATAGAAATTTTGTTCGGAGCGCAAAAGTTCTAATATCTTAAACTAGTAGCAATGGAAGATTTGTGAGGCATAGATGAGAATTAATCTAGTGTTCACAGTTGAGCTAGACCTTCCATCGTTGGTATTCAATGACCAAAGGCTGTTTACACCTGATCTAATGAATTTAAGAATTTAAAGACTTTTCAGAAGTTTGTTGCATATCTTGTTTTGATGACAACGCCCTGGTTCAACTAGATTCGCCCTTTCCTTTCAGACTTAAGTCCCTTAGCTCCCCTCTGTTGCTATACACTTCAGAAATCGTGGCCTGCATTGTTCTGTCTGAGATATCAAAAGGGGGGCCACAATATATACCAATTGTAGCTGAATTTCAAAGGTCGTTGGATAAGAATCGATGCTTGGTACAATATATGCGACGACATAACCAGACCAAGTTTGAAGATATATGTTCTCTTATCCTGAGTTTTCAGAAAGAATTCTCTGCAGGTTGCGGTATTATTGTTGGTTGAGTTCTTAGATCCCCGATTTATCCATCGCCTAAGCAACAGTACCAAGAGGATTGATTTTCATCGCCCTTTTCAACAAAGCAATGACTTCTGGATGCGGACCTCTATTTCTCAATTGCCTAGCGGAAGACAAAGCTGTGTTTCCTTCGAAAGTCTTCGCATGGAGATTAGCACCCGCTTCAATGAGAACTTGTACACTATCATCACGGCCAACCTTTGCAGCCTTATGTAACACGGTTTCGCCCTCGGCATCCTTTGCTTCAATATTAGCACCAGCTTTTATTAAAAGTTCAATGACAGAAGGATGTAAAGCAGAATGCATGAGTACTGTTTCTCCATTACATACCGCATTTACATCCGCACCATGCAGAATGAGTTCCTTAGCAACAAGGGCATCATTCTTGTGGCCCGAACTGACGGCACGAATCAATGCAGTACCAGAGTAAGTATCCTTGCCAGCATCAACTTCAGCTCCTGCTGCGAGCAGCTTTTTAACGGCCACAATGTTTCCTGCAGTTGCTGCCATGGATAAGGCAGCATGTTTGCGAAAACCTTTTGCATCAACATGCGCTCCCTTTTCAATAAGCAGATCAATGGCATCTGGAAGATTATCTACTACCACTTTCATTAATGGAGTCAAACTCAACTCATCCAATGCGTTGACGTCGGCTCCAGCTTCTATCAAAGCTCTGATAACTCCTTCATGCCGACGATCGATTGCGATGTGGAGTGCTGTTTTGTTGAAATGCTCTTCATATGGAATTTCGATTAGAGACGGTTGGACAAAAACGAGTTGCTTTACAATCTCCACATGTCCCTTTCGCGCAGCTTTGTGGAGAGCATTTTCTTGTTGATAATCCTTAGCAAAAAGGTTTGCTTTGGAATTGATGAGAAGTTGAACCACAGGGAAGTGGCCTAATTCCGCTGCAATTAACAAAGGTGTGAAGTTCTTTGGGCAGACTGCTTCAATATCTGCTCCTCTCCTAAGCAATTCGCCGACGATTGTTGGCAAACCGAACATAGCCGCGGCAACAATTGGAGGAGGGAATTCGATCGTATCTCGTATGCTGAAAGGCATCATAGCAGCAGAAGCGCCATTAACGAGTGTTCTTTGATTGAGGAAATGTAGAATATCATCCTTGAGATCTATTTCCGCTGCACCCTGAGCATGTACACCGAGATATTGGCTTGCATATGATAATAAAGGATATTCCTTGAGTCGAGTCTTGATTGTCTCGCGGTCTGGACTTTCGGGCTTTTTGAAGTTGTCCAAGGACAGGTATCTGATGCAAGCTTGACCAATCAACAGATTGGAATTAGGAAAAAACTTTGCACGATGGCGCTCAAAGTATTCCTGGAGGGTAAAATGACACAAACGGATAACGCCGCTCTCTGGGTCGACCACAACGAGACCAGCACAGACTGTCAAAAGCAAATCTTGATCGTAAAAATCATCTTCATCTAATTCGCTCTCATCAGAGTCGAGTTCCATGATAGCCACAGCATGCTGCAGCTCACGTACAGTCAGAGGCCTTTTTGCACAAGAGAGCCACATCAAAATATTCATGGCCAAATTTTTGCGATTCGTCTCTTGCCCCTCCATGATTCTTTTCATTGCATCGTCATAAGTTCTGTAAATGATTTCTGGCAGGCTAGTCAATGCTTTTCTAACACGACTGATCTTCAGTTCTGAAGCTATAGCTTCTATGTGCATATGGGCGAGAAGGAACCTAGTTGATAGATCAGCATATGTCAAGAAGCAGGGGGGCTCGGTTTGACTGACATTCCATGAGCTTTTTCAGCAATGTGTCCGACGATTGTCTTTCGTAACGTCGGATCTTTCTTGCAAAATTTTAAGATATTCTCCTCCATATCTATTCGTGCCTCCAAATACACTCGAACATCATCATCACTAGCTCGAATCTCGAGGTGCGGATAATGGGATAGCTTTTCTTCAATATCTCCCAGGCGACGCGAAGTAAGGAGGAGATGTGCATTTGAGGGCAAATTCTGTAATTGCCGAATGAGATTCGTCCTCGTTTTTTTTGTTTCCTCGCACTCGTCTAGGGCATCAGCGACTATGTACAAACGAGGGAACTCGGATGTTAATATGTGCAGCAAGTGAACAGCTTCGGCGGCATTAATATTGGTTCCCATAGACCTATGTTTGTGATATAAATCAAGAATGTAATCCGGTATTACATATCGTTGTCGGATAAGCTGTTGTATAATGCTAGCGAGATATTCAGCGATGCTTATTTTCTCTGCGTAGTTGCAATATATGAATGCTATTCCGACATTCGATACTGCAAATCTTGTTTCCAAATCATCAACAATGGCGGAAGTAAGGACTGTTTTGCCAGCTCCGGGGGAGCCTGAGCACCACAATAACCTATTCTTTCCACTTAGCCAATTTTGGTATTCTTGGCTTCTAAAAAGCCATTCTCCGGTGCCCTCTTGTTTTCGGCTTAATGTTTCGCGTTGCTTGGAGTGGCAATCTATGGATGATAGCCATTTAAGAACCTTTAAGCTATCTTTATCCATCTGTTGAGTGATAATAGCGTCTACACTGTCACTAATCGTTGTAACTTGTTTCGAGATGTCGACGACTTTCTCTGCAGTCGTCGATACCGTAGACTTCGACGGTGATTAGCATAGTTTGAAACATTTAGTGGATTCGAGACATACAAATTCAAAATATCCATAGCAAAAACCAGGTTACTCCTCACGTGTTCGATGCTCTCTTGTAACCTCATCAATGTACTTTTCCTGAATGGATATAAAATTCTTCTTCCCTGTTCCGTCATCTTGTCCCTAAAGCCCTGGTTGTCATGATTTTTTCTCGCGATCAAATCATCTACATTCACGACAGAAGGTTTGCAGACCATGACCTTCTTCAATTCATCACCCAACTCTGCGATACTGTCTTCACAGTCCAAAATCTTAGACTCCACAGTTATCGACATTGCCTTATCGAAAGCCGGACTTTGTAAGACTGCTTTCAGTAGCGCAAAGTTCGTCAAAAGACCTTCGATAGACTTGATCATGTCGGCATTCTCCTTTTTACTACCTTTCCAGGCATTATAATAATTGATTAGCCCCTCACAAACTTGTATTCCCGCGGATAAAATGCCAGCAATATTGCTGATGGTTCCTATTGCTTCCATAATTGGAAGTTGGGAATAATATCGAAGTTTGGGAACAGAAATGTAAATAACGAGAGGCCGCTCTGCTTGAGGATATATATTCTGCCAATCGGTGGAAGTGTGACCTTTATGTGTGGCTGACAGGAACACACCCATGAAGCGGACGACTTTCGAATCCCAGCGAAAGAAGTGGAAATTGGTCGTAGAAAGGTTGACGGGACACAAACTCCATAAAAATAATGATATCACTTCAGAGAATACTACCTTTATACTCACTGTACTGGTTACGGTCGGCCATCTGGTTGGGTGCCAGATTGTGGCAGAGTGAGTACCTTACAGGAGGGCTGTGTACGTGGAGCGACTCCAAAAAATGCATCCTTCGTGAATATGTGGCGACGTTATTAGATAGCGAAGCCATAAGCCCAGCAAGAATTAACTTATTACATTGCCAATTTGAAGTACGATTGAAATGAGTGGAAGTGAGTTGAGTTGAGTCTCTCACGGAATCTTTGCTAGGATCCCAAAGACAGTAGACAACATAAACCTCCGCGTGATTCAAACCCCTTCATCAATGCCAGAATAGCCGCAATTAGAATATCGTAGCAAACCTTCGAAAAGTGTAACTTATATAGAAACTTGATGACTTTGGGATGAAATTGACAATAATGAACACATTCTAGCTAAATCTTCAAAATCTCAGAACGATCTAGGGAAGAGAAAATAGTTCATGAACAAACGGGATGTAAATATAGTCACGTGCCATTAGCTCGGTATCATTACCCCAGATTTCTCCATTCCCGGAGGCGGGCTGGCATGTGAAAGATGCGCCGAGGACCCAGGGAAACAGAAACATCAAACGCAATACAACAATGGCAATATTTTTAAATGCACAACGACGACATCATACTTGAAATATAATCTAGCTCTTTGATCAGTAACTCATTGTACCTCCTCATGAAGCGACTCAATCTGCAGACTCGCTGAGCTGCTTGCAACAGTATATCCGGAGTCTATTACAGGCCCATCAAAATGGCTGCGCAATCCAAACTCAATTTCCTCCCACCCGATCGAACGATCAAGAGTATAATATCGGATCTCACATCATTATACCTCAAGAATCGGACAAAGATTTCTCGGACGGTCTATTTGACATTATTCTTCGCTCTCCTTAATCGGATTCGTTCTGCCATTTCCGAACAAAAGGCTGCAGCTATTCGTCATGCGGAATCACGAAGAAGAGGTCCAGTCGCACTCGGCAATGGCGCGCAAGGAGCCGGAAGAAAAAAGGTCGAGTTGAATAGGGAGTTCTTCAAGAACCTGATTCGGCTTTTGAGAATATGTATACCTGGATGGAGGAGCAAGGAAATGCGATTGCTTGTCAGTCACAGTATCTTCCTTGTCATTAGAACTTTGATCAGTCTGAAAGTTGCTGCCATGGATGGCGCCCTTGTTTCAAGTCTAGTAAGAGGGAAAGGGAAGGACTTTTTGATTGGAATTGTTTGGTGGATGATAATCGCGGTTCCCGCAACATTCACGAATTCTATGGTATGTGGTACATGGTATATTGCCTTTTCCGGTAATCAAGCTAATACATGATGCCCACAGCTATCATATCATCAATGCAAGCTTGCCCTTCAGTATCGTACACGATTGACAGATTATATTCACGATAGATATTTATCCAACATGACATTTTACTCACTTTCCGCTCTCGACGATCGAATAAAGAATGCAGATCAGTTGATAACTGTGGATGTATCAAAATTTGCGAATAGTTTGGCGGAGTTATATGGAAATCTTGCAAAACCAGCATTAGATATGGCAATATACAACTATTCTCTTTCCAAGAGTGTCGGTGGCGAAGGGCTTCTTTTCATGTCGTTACTGGTACAACTTTCAGCAAATGTCATGCGAGCATTGACGCCACCTTTTGGTAAATTTGTGGCAGATGAAGCAAGACTAGAGGGAGAATTTCGATTTCAGCATTCAAGATTGATAGATTACAGTGAAGAGATTGCATTGTATAATGGGCATGAAGCGGAAAAAGACACTTTGGATAAAGGTTATTTTACACTGATCAAACATGTAAACTGTGAGTATCCTCATACGCTGTTCCTGACTACGAACTAATATCGCGACAGACATACTAAGACGAAGATTCACGCATGGAATAATGGAGGTATGGGTAGTGGACTCTCTTTTTGGAAGCGAATGCTAATTTTTCTAGGATTTCGTCATCAAATACGTATGGGGAGCTTTGGGGCTTATTCTTTGTAGTGTTCCAGTATTCTTCAAGATACCAGGTGCAACTGCAGCAACTATGGGTGACCGAACGGAAAGTTTTGTAACCAATCGAAGGTTACTGCTATCCAGTTCTGATGCTTTTGGTAGAGTAATGTTCTCTTACAAAGAGGTTACTGAATTGGCTGGATACACTTCACGAGTTGCAACTCTTTTGGAGGTTATGGATGATATCAAAGCTGGACGATTTGACAAAACTCTAGTATCTGACGATGATTCTGGAGAACAGTTAGAGTTGATGAGAGGTAGAGGTACTGTCATTGAGAGCGAAGATATTGAATTCGTTGATGTGTATGTTCTATCTAAACCTAACGTTTACAATTGCTGACGATTTTTAGGCCAATTATCACTCCCGGTGGAAGTATTCTCGTACGAAAACTATCTTTCTCCATGAAACGTGGTGATCACGTTCTAGTAGTTGGACCAAATGGATGTGGTAAATCATCCTTATTCAGGATTCTCGGAGGGTTATGGCCAGTTTATGGCGGTACCGTTCGCAAACCACCTCTTTCCCAAGTTTTCTACGTGCCTCAACGACCCTACCTTAGCGCTGGATCCCTCCGTCAACAAATCATCTATCCCGACTCTCTCCGTACTATGCGAAGCAAAGGCATAACTGATGCTGACCTCCTTTCCATCCTCTCAATCCTCGATCTCGATCACCTCGTGACAGCTTTCCCTAATGGCTGGGACGCCGAAGCTGAATGGCGCGATGTCCTCTCAGGTGGCCTTCAACAACGCGTAGCTATGGCTCGTCTCTTCTACAATCGGCCCAAGTATGCTATCCTGGATGAATGCACTAGTAGCGTTACTCTAGAGATGGAAAAAATAATGTATGAACATGCGAAAGCATTAGACATCACTTTGATGACAGTAAGTCATCGTAGAAGTTTGTGGAAATACCATAGTAAGATATTACAATTTGACGGACAGGGGAAATATATCTTTACCAAATTGGATGCGGAAAAGAGATTGAAATTGGAAGATGAAAAAGAGGAGTTGGAGGCGCATCTGAGAGCTATGCCGGAGGTCAAGAGGAGGTATGAGGAATTGATGTTGGGAAGGGGTGAATGAGAGTCTAGGTATGGATTCAGTTAGGAGGGTCATGAGAGGGGAACTAAGAATGCATTTACCTTACACATATACTAATTTCATGTATCTGCCAATTTCTGGAATTGAACTGTCATTCTCATATCATGTTCCTTCTATAAGAAAAAATATCCGCCTAGACATTAAGACGATTTCTCGCCAGTGTCTCTCGATATTAATAAAGCTTCATTTTTCTCAAAGTTTTTAAAGATTGAGCCATCGCTGTCCACAAGGTAAAACACGCACAAAATTGAACACTCTCAACTGTGGTTAAAACCCATGAATTCAGCACAGATGATAGATGACTTATATGACATAGAAATCGATATACACCTATCTACGAATACCCTGTTCCTTCACACCTATGCACGCCATATTTCTGTCCAAAATATTTATACATATCGTGATCGGTTCAACGTGTGATATATTCTTTTATTCATTATCTGCATAATACATATCAATCCTTAGTTAGGTATATGACAACTCAAACCCAGTAACAAGTACACCATACTCCTTCTTCTCTGGATATCTCATCTTATCTATCCCATCCCATCCGATAATCTCCAAAGTAATGCATGCCATAACAATATTTTACAAGTCGATCTTCCACATCTGCTCTTCCTCTCCCTCCTTTACTCCACTCTTCTCTTCTTTCTTTTCTTGTTTTTCTTCTTCTTTCTCCTCGCCAATAGCCATTTTCTTTCCAGACTCCTCACTCTCGAAATCCATCTCTACTTCCTCAGGCATCTGTTCACATTCTCGCAGTATCCCCTTCCCGTTCGCATCTCTCGTCATGCCGTAGTATACCCATGTGATTTTATACGAGAAGGAGATTCCTTCTTCCTCTTTTCCCTCCATCTTCGTTTTCAATTCTTGGTTCTCTTCTCCCCGAGATTTGACCACTTCACGTGGATACGCCAATTTTTCCTCGGAAAGCGAAGGAAAAATAATATCCGAAGGTCCCAGCTTTTCTTTCCTCGCTCCTCCATTCCCACCGTTCTTCTTCTCAGAATAGGGAGTTTTCAGAGAAGGAAATTCTCCCTCCATTGCTAATCTTCCCCATCCCATTCCCTTCATTTCTCGCTCCAAGCCCTGGTTAACCCCATGCAGCAACCCGATAAAACTTCTCCATTCCCCTTTTGATATCCCCGCGACACCGGCGTGGGAAGCGGGGGAAATGGAGATGTAGAGGGAAGATTTGAATTCTGTTCCTTCGGTTTTGGCGGGGAGGAGAATGCTGGAGGAGATGGTGTAGGTGTCTTGGGATGGGGAGGATGAGGATGAGTCTTGAGCGGGAGTGCCGGGTGAAAATGTGTAATAGGGACTAGAGGTTGGGCCAGAGGGGTAGAGGTGGAGGAGATTGGAGAGGAGATCGGTGGTGAGACAGGTCCAGTCGAGGTGCAGGCTGGGACAAGTGGATGTGAGGGTGAAGGGGATAGAGATGGGTGATGAGGAGGTGGAAGTGTGGGAGATGGGGGGACGGACGTTGATAGTTCCGGAGCGGGAGGAGTGGAGATCTGGAGAGGAGAAAGATGGGGTTGTGTAGAGGGTGCGGGGGCTTTTGGGTGGTAGCTGTGGTGAGGATTGTTGGTGGTGGGTGGAGAGTGAGTGAGCTGGGAAGATGTTAGATTCTCTTCGAGACAGGAGAAGATGGGGGTATGATGAAAGATTAGGGTATAAGTATAAGTATAGAAATATATAACTTACATTCCGGCGAACTTATCCCAAGAAACGATTGTGTAGGATACGCATCCAACTTCCCCAACAAGCTGGCCAGCAGCGCAAAACTAGACCATGATGAATACGAATACATGACTTTATCTTTTTCGTTCGTCCGAACTCCTCTACCTAATATCAGATGGAAATAGAAGAACCAAAAAGATAAGACGAATGACGAAATAAAAAGATTCCCGAATCCTTTTCGAATAAACAATCCGATATATATATGATAAACCAAAAAAGAACAAAACAACAAGCAAACAAAATCAAGGAAATAAATACAACAGCAAAGTTCTTCAAAATGGTAACGCGCTCGAAACTAGAATATAGAGTTTGGATACGGATGTCCACTTGAGAGAAACGCAATGAAACCGGAGGGGTAAAGTACACAGACCTATTCGATATCATAGCTTTAGTATTCCTACCAACATCTCGTATATATATACTTTCTTCCTCTTCTCTCCACCCTACCCTAATCAAACCTACCTCTCTCTTTCTCTTCATACCACAATACTACCATACCCGCATCCCTCTCCCCAGCTGTCGATCAATCAATCAATCAATCACCTCCTCCTCCCTCCCTCACCAACCAACCATTCATCACACCTAGTCCCCAGCCCCCAGTCCCCAATCCACCACCTCATCTCATCTCATCTCCCTCCCCATCTCGCATACACAATACAATATCACCCTTCCTCCCAAACCATACAAACCTCCCAAACCCTCCGAAACACCAACATCCGCATCAACACCCCCATAAAAAAAGCCCCCTGCCCATCACATCCCGCGTCCCAAGCGGCTAATTTTGAAACCGGCTCGCTTTCCCCTTCCTTACCCACACAACCAAAACCAAAACAATAGTAAGATCTTACCATTCATACCATACCATACCAAAGAAAAATCGCCAAAAAAAATACTAGCTATGCACTCACGCACCGACATAAGCGCTGCGTACTGCGCTGCGCATGAACCTAGCTCGCCTAGGTACCTAGGTATGTACTGTATGTATGTACCTATGTATGTATATTTATACAACCCAGACTCGCCAGGTACCTACATATCTCATCTCGTGCATAAAATGTAACCTCAGCCCGTCTACAAACCAAGAAGTTACAAACAAATTACAATCAATCAATCAATCAATCAACTACTCGTGAAGACCTATCAATATACCGTAAATACAAGTAAACTACCTAGCTAGGTATCTAGATACCTAGTTCAACTAAGCGCACTACATTTCACTTCCGAGTAATAAGGTTACGTCTTACATTGTGTTAACCACTCACTCACTCGCTCATTCACTCACAACCACACAAATGATACCCGGTAATACGCTACCTACAATACAATACAATACAATACAATACAATACAATACAATACAAAATATCCACTCCAATTCACATCTCCGCGCTTATTTTATTTCATCCATACCCTAGTCTAGTGCATCTGATAACTTACTGCGTATTTTCACTTAATATCTAATATCCAATATCCAATATCCAATATCTACCTAACACAGAATACAATACCTACAAGCCTACCCACGAACCTACCCAGTCCATTAACACCACACCGTGAGACACCACATTTACCTAGTACCAACACAATTAGTAAACATCCAAACACCCCCAAACCCCCTCCAATCCAATCCAATCCAATCCAACTCAACTAAATCAACCAACAATTGTTTATAGAAGGTTATTGACTACTACCTAGGTATCCATATCATACTAACTCACCATTTACCGGTATACAAGCCATTAATAATACCTAATTAACCCTCTCTACTTTCATCCCCATCCCTATCCCCATCCCTATCCCTATCCCCATCCCCATCCCCACCCTAAAAACAAACAAGCAAGCAATCTCAACTTCCCATTCCCATTCCCATCCATCCCATCCCAAACGATAATTTTACAAAAATTCACAAATCAATCTACCTACACACTACCTACCTACCTATCTGCTCATACTACAAAAATCGTACACACACACACACACACACACACACATCCACATTCCCAAACCCTCCATCACCCCCATCACCACCCCCATCACCACCCCCAATCACAAACCCTCCATCCAACCCAACTCCTCAACGGCCACTCCACCGTCGCGCCTACCTAACCTCTAGTCTCTAATCTCTAACCTAACCTAACCTACCACTTCAATATTTCAAGGGTACAAACTCGTATAAAATATCCCGATAATCCCGATACAAACGAACAGCCAGCCCTGTAGTAGACCAGGGTCATTGGCGCTTAACCATCACTTTACCTTAGCCGTGCATCTACCGATGAGTGCTGAGGTTGTTTTTATCTCAGATCACATTGATATTTATATTCACATCACATGATTTTATTTTATCCTTGTCTCTCGATTTACTAGTCCCTATTGGAATAGTGGAATAGGGAGAAATCAAATATAAGTTCTTCCACCCTGTAACGGATTTTGCTATCAAGCTTTATTTTCATGGCTTTCAGAAAACAAGCCTTGATGGCTCATCTCATTTGTAGACAGCTGTGATGATTCTTCCTTCATCTTTCTTCCTCTGCGCTCAACCTAAATTCGCCCTCTTTGGTATCTCGTTTTCCCCAAAGCCCAAGCAACTTCCTCATCTCATTTGTACCTCATCACCACTTGTTATCGTATTGATCCTCCCATCTACCCCATTTCAACCATGCAACAGCATAATACAAGAATTTTTTTTCCGATGCCGAAGCCCAGCCGAACTTTCACCACGAATGTGACAAAATCCTCGCCTCCAATCCTCCGGATAATACCCATTCATCTGAGTCCATATCTACCATATGACGTGAAACAAAAACCAAAGAAAGGAAAGACGAAACAATGTGTCGACATTTCGTTTATAACAAAAGGTCCAGAGAGGAAATCGAATCATGTAACGCCAAATCGCTATGCATTAAAACCTAGGCAAAAATCATAGTGTAGATGAGACTTGCTAGTCCGCTCAAAAGATTGGTTGTATAACTGAAAGTAAACGAGAGCAAGCCGTTGGAAACTCATTTAGTGTCCGCCACTGTTGAAGGTATAAGCGACAGTCTTGAAATAAGCATAAAAATACATACCAATTTTAGTTGCAATATCCGAAGCAGGAATAGGGTCCTCATGCTTTGCAACACTACCCTTACCACGCCAAGTACTGACAGCAGGAATCTGTGCATCGTAACGTACTTCTTCTGTACCATACGCACGCGGGGTGAGCTTAATGAGGGTGTGAAGAGGTACAGCCATCCAGGGTGATTCATCTTGGGGCTTCTTCATAAAATAGGCGTAGATACAACTATAGATTGTTAGTAGATTATAAGTAATGGGGAAAACAAAGCCTACCGAAGAACAGCCTGATGAGTAACGATCAAAATGTCCTCTGATCGCTCCAATTCCATGATAATGGGTTCGAGACGAATAACAACATCGCGGTAAGACTCTCCTCCACGATATCTGTAGTTGTATTTATCCTCATCGCGGGCCTCGAAATCATCTGGATATCGCTCTTTGATATCTTGATAAGTAAGTCCATCACAAACACCAGAATTGAGCTCATCGAGTGCTTTCCATTGAAGCTGATTATACTCATTTGGAAGGTGACGAGCAGTGGCGATGGTGCGACGAAGAGTTGAAGTCCAGACCGTCAAAGGGCGATTGTCCTAGATAAATTAGTCATGAGATTCGACTAGAACTAGACCTTGACGAGAAAGTACATACTCCTACTGATTCGAGTACCAATGAAGGCAATTTCTTGGCATACATCTCTCCACGAGGGGATAATTCGGCATCACCACCAATCTTTCCTTCGAGGTTGTACATAGACTCTCCGTGCTATGTATTATTAGCAAAATGAGATTTCATGGGATCCAATGATTTCTTACTCGTGACAGCCAGATAGATCTCGGCTTAATGTGTAAATTCATCAAGTAATAAACCACGCGACTTTGAAGATAGTCTTGAATTCGATTGATAATGACTTGTTTTCCAACATTCATGATTTTCAGATAAGTAAGATCACTCTCTTCGTCGTCAATCGTCTCGTAAACCTTCTCGTAGTTCTTGATCCTATTCCTAAAATCTTGAGCTGCCTTTTCCGGGTCTGATCCAGCGTAGTCTGGGGATGTCGTCTTGACTTCTAGAATGTTTGACATGATCAAATCTTCATCATCGCATTTCGATTCGACAAAAAGAGTCTCGATTCCTTCAGCATCGCAACGGTCCTTGATCCATCTTCGGCGCTCTTTTGTACTATTCGTAGCATCGAGAATGGCAACGATCCCTTGTTTATTCTTGAACCAATCGATCATATCATTGACGGCAGCTTCAGCGGCAGCTCTACGCATACGTTCGCCCTCTGTATTGGTTGTATCGAAGAAATCGGCAGTCGGATTTGGGGTTGCATTTCGACGATAGTTACCGACGTTGAAAACTTGAGCATCGATGGATAACCATTTGAGATAGCGTTGAGCTGTAAAGTATATGATGTTAGCTTTTGCGTATTCCCAAACCGATTGAGATTTGTACGTACCTTTTTGAGCAATGAGCGATTTTCCTCGTGCAGGAAGACCGACCATCACCACGCAGATTTGCGTATCCTCAACCTGTACACCGAGGCCATTAGATCTTGTCTTGAATCGCGTCATGGTTGCTGTGAAGAATCTGCGGATTTGAAGATCAAAATTCAAAAGAAGAGGAGAAAGAAAAGAGAAGTAGAATAAAGGTTTAAATGATAAATTATTGGAAAGAGAGAAACAGATGATCGCGTGAGGTTGTCAACGGCGGTCTCTTTAGTTTATTAAAGTAGGTAAGGAACGGGTGAGTTCGGAGGGATAGGCTATTTTTACACAGGGAGAAGCAGAATTAGATTTCCCCGAATGGTGTTTGTTGATGTCTTTTAAGTTCTTGAAAAAAAAACAAAAAAACCAAATCAAAGTCCAAGTGAATTAAGAAATGAGCAGACTGGATGAAGGATGAAGAGTGTGAGGAATCTCTGTATATATCGAGAGAAGTTTTGAATTTGGGGGAAAGTGTAGAAAAAGGAATTTATGATTTCATCCTATCCTGTCCTATCCTGTCCTATCCTGTCCTATCCTGTCCTATCCTTATCCTTCTAGAAAGAAAGAAGGTAATGAAGAATCAGGGGGAAGAAAGAGCCCCCTGTAGGCTGTAGGGTACCTAAAGTAATGCTTGAGTGTGCTTGGGCCCTTCTAAATTTCTAAAACATCGGAAATCCCCTCCAAAATCCCTGTTTTCCCGATAAATTCCACTTCTAATCACCACAGCTGAACCCGGTCTGGTCTGTGGTGCGATGTGTAATGTATGAGAAATTTCATCCTATGACGACTTTATAAGGGGAAAGTTCAACTTTTGCATCCACTGGGAATCCGGATGTACAAGAGAGAGTATTTGATGCTTCCTACAAATTGGAAATGCTACAAAAGGCAGGTAGGTACGAGGTACGAGGTACGAGGTAGGAGGTAGGAGGTAGGTACGAGGTAAGCAATGAACGAGGTACTCGAGTAACCTCAGAATAATTCAACCCCGCACAAGGCTGAGCTGAGAGATGTAGAGGCTTGTTTCTACCCCTCTATCGGTTTGACATAGAAGAGAATGAAATGAATGGGTTACGAGCAAAATAACATTGTTACCATTCTTCTCACGATCAACACATTCTTCCTTCTCAAAAGAAAAAAAAAAAAAGACCCCCTTCAAAAGTAGCTCCATAGCCGGTTGGGTAAAGGGAAAATCAAAAAGGAGAATCCTCATATTTGGGTCGAAACCACATTGTGGATTTGCTTCCCACTATTCCACCATAGAGATCCTCTTTTTTTTCTTCGGGACTTAATGCGCTACCTAGCATCTTCTTATTACGACCAAGGCCAACGACATCAATTCAGCACAACTACCACGCCAGAATTACTGGTCATGTCATGTATGGTGGAATGAATGATTAATACAAGGACGTCTAGAACCTCTTCCCCCAAAACGTTGGGTTCATCGGAAAAAGGCCTTGTTAGCTTTCCTCCAGCCATCACATCCCATCCCACAAACTCGGAATGAGCGTTTAAAGTTCGCAAAAACATACTTTCAATGCTCTTCTTGATTGACGGTTCGTCTGTCTTACTCGTCCTTTCTTCTCATTGGCACATAGTTGTGTCAATCGTGTCAAGCTTCCCCGAGCCCCCAGATGCACTCGTATAGGAGCCAGGAAAATTCTTCACCAATAGGTCGAGAAATTTCTTTTCCTGCAAGTTACTTCAAATGCAGCAAGTTTGTCTGGCTCGCCTGGTTCATTTGTTGGCTTCTTCTCACCGCTGATCTTGCCACTTCAACCCTAGACTCCCAAAACTAGACTCTGCATCACGTGGATGAGATCTAAGTCTAAGATCTGTCTGGTTGCATAATTACACCATCCTTCTTTGCGTACACCACCATCTCATCATCGGAATGAGTAGATGAAGTCAAAACTTTGACCATGATGGATTACTTCGATTCATCAAGCATTGTATCATTGTGAATCAGATCCTGAAATAGGAAGTCCTGAAAGTTCTGAAAGAATTATTTCACATACCTCGTTTCCCGCAGAATACATTTCCCCTTTCCTTCTCAATGGACCTCCGGCTGTAACTCCGTACATATTTGCTTGATTAGATAAGGACGCGTTTGTTATGTGAAATAAGATTGGGACGATCAATAGACCAGAGTTGTCAGTGGGAACTGGGATTTGAAGAAACAGTTTATCACACTGTAGGAAAATAAGAGGAAGTGATATCTTAATAATGGTATTGGAAGTCTTGTTGATGTAATGGACTGTATTACGTTCTCTTTTTCAAGCCTGGCTGTGGAACAAGCAAAGAGTCATTATCTGCTTTGTTATTTATTCCCTTGCTTATTCCTTATCGTAAGATTGATAAGACTTTGCATGCTCGGGAGCTGTATTGAGGTACATAAAGCGGCGTACTATCTCGACAAATCAGAAGTGGTGAGATTAAACTTGTGGCAGTCTTGTCCATTATAACTTGCTACCACTCAAGTATATGATTCTAATTTGCTGCTGTATCTTTCAATTTCTGATTCACCAAGAAGAAAATTGATTTCACAAGCAAGAATAACAACGCTAACAAGGGCAGTAGAAAGTATCTACCTACAAACGATCATTCAGCAGAGCAATTTCATACACCAATAGATAATATAATTAGCCGGTGGTTGGTCCGTGCTCCACATGACCTAATCCTCAATTTGTTCTCTGAAATCGTCGTCGTACAAGTCAAAGGTCAAACAGGAATGTAGTGACCGGAAACGAAGTGATAATCTGAAGAATTCAAGTGAAGCTCTCAAGCTACTAATAGTTCCCATAGTTTTTGATCCTGGTCACTCGTAAACTAGAGTTCTACTTGACCCCTTGCAATGTGCTAACTCGGGTTTGTTTTTGGCTATTGGTTCGCAGCTATTGGGCTTGATATATAATTTTTTTCTGATGGGCTTGCTTGTTGAGATATCACCGGCTCGATGATAGAGGAGCTTTGTATTAATTAAATATATATTTCAGTAATCTATCTACCTCCCATTCCAATGGCTAGTCTATCACCGATCTCAACGGCGTGGTCTCTGCTTAACCCCTAGATCAATATATGCTCATTTATACACAACCAAAACTGACGATGCAGCAGCGAAGAGAACCAAAGATTAATAGATAATTATTATGAACCACTTCCATTCAATTGAGAAGATTAGCGGTGTATCTATTGAGACTCGGAATACTAAGCGTGCCCATGGAAGGGATGGATGGGAAGGGAGTAGATAGCTGAGAAGTGATAGCAGATATAAGGAAAACTAAGAAAAGTTATTGCAGAGTCATAGTAGAAGTAGGATTAGAACTGCAGGGAGCAATCGCACGGGTGAGGAAGTTGATGTATAGAGGAGGTTCTCCTCCTGAAACTGAAGAGAAGGCAAAAAATGGAAATGGGAGTGGAGGGAACGTGGAAGAGATAGTTGAGGTCTTTTCGGCAAGACACCCAAGATAGTGTTGGATGATTTTTCATCGGGTTTATAAGTATTATGCGGTTATGAGATCTGGTGGTGTAGCTAATCTAATAAAACTTGTTGAAGCTCGCTTCGATTTAATAGATAGTTCTAAAATTGGTATTAGATTTGGTTTGTTGAAAGCTTGATATATGGTTTGTGTATCTAGGTAGATACTCTCCATGCGTTTGATTGGTTTATGTGTGGTAAATGTGGTACTTATGTCTAGGTAGGGGAAGGATGGATGATTTTTGAAATTGGGAATTGGAATTAGAATGGGTTAGTAGGTAGAGATGTTGAGATGGATGGAGATATGGATACTTATGGATATGAATTTGGGTGGTTGTGGCTAAGCCAATCCATTTGATCACCAGCGGATGCAAAATTGACGAAACACCTGCGAAAATTGAATTGCCAAAATTTCTTGGAGTGTGTATTCAGATACTCTAAGATTTCACACAATATAATATTACTAACTGAAAAATGGAAAATGAAATTAAGATATCAAGGAATTGAAACATGCAATTGCTATAAATCTCAAAAGTTGAGATATCTTGTTGGTTCACACACTCACTGGTGGACTTAATGGTCTGTGCACACCTGTGGAAAATCTATTCTTCCGATAGGTTCTTTTGACTGCCTCTCCTCTTGCATTATCATCTAGTCTTCTTCTTTCTGAGTTGTATTTGATGAGTACATTGATTTACTGTTTATTTCCTCACTCATGGGTATATGGAACACCGATGATCGATCTAGTCACAGAACTTCCTCGTGTTCTCAGATGGCAATCTGGGAGTGGACACATCTGTGTCATCTCGACAACCTCAGATGTGTGACTTGGATATCAGATCTTGTGTCGAACTAGAATTAGTTCTCTATCGTTCATATCAGAATACAACTCATTCACCAAGAAGTATATAGATTCTTTACTCCCAGCATCCCATCTTCAAGGAAATGGTCTAAATATCTTCTCTCATTATTCATTGTTATCTGCTTGCTAGCTGTTCTCTTTCCCGCTTTGTGTGGTACAGTTCATACGCTCCGAGTTCCTCTATAGCTTATGTCCACAAGTATCTATCCTTCTGCTCAAAGAGGAATTTGATGAGGTTACCCTTAGTCATGTCCTTTCGTGAGATACACTATGTCTGCGCTGTCTTCCTGTCACCTCTAGCCCAGCCTGAGAAGAAACGCAAGGAAATTTCAAAAGAAAGGAAATTAGAAACAAGAGAGGAAAGAGAAATAAAAGGAACACATCCGCTATGCCTATGCCGCTTGCTACCTCGCTTCAATATCTCGCTGTATCGCTCGCTAATCGTCATTGATTGAATGCTTGTCCACGCTGTGCAGAAAATACAATGCATGCCGGGAGATATTTCCAATCAGTTACACAGCCGCCATTCTTAGAAGTACGTTCATCCATCCATCGCTTCAAAGAGACCCTTCATCTCGCCGATCTCCATAATCTTCGCTTCTTCAATCATGGCGTTCTCATCTGCTCTTCTTCTACCCCAACCAACTCTGTCTATGGCAAACGATGTAATCTCCTCTCCCGCCATTCCATTCTCACACCCAATATTATACTTTGGAGATGGAAATCCCGCCTTTCTCATTCCTGCTTGTTTGAAATCCGCCAAAGTTGGCCAGTCTGCTCGTACAGGTGACTCCTCGTCCAAGCTAGGATGTCCCCAAATAGTCTTCCGAGCGAGCACACTTGACAATTCATCACTAAATGCTTTTCCTCTGAAAGCAGGCTTAACCTTGACAAAAGTTCCTTCGCTCTTCAATCTCATAACCTCCTCTTTGTTCTTGATGCGCTCGTTCATTTCGTCCCTCGCGTCATTCTTGCGCTCCTCTCGATGCTTGACCAAGTCCTCGGTAGACTTGGGAAAGTATGGTGATGCTGCTACGCCAAGATGAGTACCTTGAATTCGGAGACGATCGAAGTTCTTTCCAAGTTCATAGGCATCGCTTCGGTGAGTAAGGGACGTTCCAGCTGCTTGTGCCATGGCAAGAGGGTTCGGTGCTGAATTAGCAGCCTGATACGCAGCGACAACTTTGTTGGTTCGTGTCGAAGTTCCACTTACGTCAGAACGAGTAGGAAGTGGGTTTCCACGACGAGATAATTGAGGAGGTCCTGTGTAGTATGGGACTCCAGCTCCATCTTGTGGCATTTCTCCCTTCTTACCACCCATGAATTCTCCAGTGGGAACGGTATAATTCGCAGAGATAGATTTCGCTCTCAAGACTCGTCGGTTCAAAGGTTGGCTGTTCATGCTCATGCCAACCCCACCTCCCAATTGGTTTCCTTCTCTTGTACTTGTCGCACCAGTAGGTCTGGCCAGGATACCCGTAATAGATGGTCTAACATTTGTACCTCCGACTACATTTCCAAAAACACTCCCATCCTGCAAAGCGTTAAACCCCAATGGTGGAAAGTCATTGTCGGATGGTGGCTGTTGTCGTGCCGGCGCGGTAGGAGTACCATCGTTTTGGTGGGTATGGCGAGCTCTAGAACCAGGTCGGTTTCGACCGCTTGATCCACTGCCTCGGTGACGCTTCAACATCGCATTGTTTCCGGCGGGTGGTGGGGGGGTGGGTGTGTCTTGTATGCTTTCTTTGATCGGTTCCATCTTTTCTTTTTCTTCAAATCGTCGTGGATTTAAATGGTGCAAATAAAGGACTTGGAAGAGAGGTAGGTAGGTATGTACGTAGATAGAAGGATCTTTTTCTTGCGCCTCTGCTTCTTTGATGTTGAAAATGTATGTATGTACTTTTTATCTTGCTTGCTTGCAGTAACAAACCCCAACTTTTCAATTCCCACAATCTGAAAGCTTTTCGAAGAAACTTGAAAGAATTGCGGGATTTAAACAGGCAGAAGAAAAGAAGTTCGTTCTTGAAGCTGTATGTATCGTATTGTATCGTATTGTATTGTCTTGTCTCCTATCGTATTGTAAAGAAGCAGCAGCAGAAATAGCAGCAGGTGCAGCAATAAACAAGATTAAAACTGGGAGGAATTTATTCAAACTTCAGAGTCTATACGGAGACGAAAAAAGGTAATTCGGATCTATGTTCAAAAAATTGTGGTGGTGGTTGTTTGGCAATCCGAGCCCCGGTGTCGCAGAGGGAGGGGGAGGGGGAGGGAGTTTTCGATCTTTGACTTGACTTTAATTTTTAATTTTTTCTTGACTTTTGACTTGAGACATTTGTTTATGATTATTGGGTTTTGGGTTTGGGGTTTGGATTTTCTTCGGGAGAGATGAGTGATATTAAAAGAAGAAATAGAGAAAGAAAGAAAACTGTGATCTGTCTGTCTGGCTGGCTGGCTGGCTCTCTGTCTCTCTATCTGGTTGGTGATACAGGAGTGGCTTGAGTAGTGATTGGGGATTTTTATGAGAGGAGGTTTATGGTGGTTGATAAGAGGTTTAGGATGATTGGGCTGAGAGGTTGGTTTATGAGGATGAGATGAGATGAGATGATTTGGAATGGGATTATGAGAGAGGATTGAGGCGAGTGAATGGGGGTTAGGATGAGTTGGTTGATTTTTTGTATGGAATATCTACTTTGTGTGTATTTACAGGTATGGGAGAGAGTGTGGTGTAGTGTAGTGTAGTATAGTGTACTGGAATGGAATGAAATGGGAGTCTTGAATTTACTAGATTAGATGGGTTGCTGTGTACTTGTGATGAGTTGTATAGTATGGTATGGTATTATTGTCTAAAGAATACATAGGTATCTAGATAGATATTACTTTGAGGAGAGTGAATGAGTCTGGATGTAACCTAATTCTATAGGTATTCTTTGACACTAATAACACTAACAATACTGATATCGATCTAAATCTAAATAACAACAACAAGACATCATTATCATCATAGAATCATTCCCATACTTTCTAGTTATTCATCTACTATACTAAACCATCAACACCTCTCTTTCTCCTCTTCTTTCTCTCAAACATATCTCCATCCGAACCCGAAACTTCACCTTTGAATCCTGACTTAAGCGATCTCGGAGCTGGAGATTTGGTCTTTGCAAATGAAAAAGGTTGAAATTGAAATTGGTTTGTTCCAGGTAGATATTGATTGTAGTTGGTTTGAGGCTTGGAAAGCGAAGTGAAATTTTGGGGTTTGGTTTGGTTGTGGGTGGGTGAGTGGGTATGTATGTATGTATGTATGTGGGAAAGTAATTGTGATAGTGATAGTGATAGTGATAGTTGGTAGGTAGATCGGTATGGGATTTTAGGGTATGGGGTTTTGATATGGGGAAGAGGTTGATATTCATGGATTATAGTGTAGGTTGGGGTTGTCTTATGTAGTGAGATATCTAGTTTGTGGAATATGGTGTGATTTTATATGTAAACTAAACACAACTTATTTCATTTCAGCTCTCTTGTATATGATGGAAGAAATGAGATGAGATGGTATGAAACGGTGTGATTGATCGTCTAACATCTAACATCAGGTGCAGAATCTTAGGAACTTCTTTGAATGAAAGGGAGTTTCTACTTGGAGGTTCTCTAGTGTGCATTTTGTTGATAGGTACTGGATATTGATATCCTCTCATCACTGCGGAACATAAAGGTTTCTTGCAAAGAATGGAAGGAAGGACCTTTTTTATATCTTTATCATTGGTTATTGTAGGTTTTCACTCACGAGAGCAAAGCCATTCCCATTACAGCCATCACTTCATTCCCATCACAAATCGCAAGCTCTGGCTCACTACCATCCTCCATCTCCTATCTAGCCTTCGGAGCTAGAAGTGGTTTCCCAGATGTGCTCAATTAACACATTCATCATAACCGTCAGCCAACTTCACAAATCCCATGACTCTTTTGAAGTGTCTTTCCTCCGTTAATATATGTCCTACTCCTCGAAAATTAAACATCTGGGTGATTATGATCTTGATACCAACTCTCGATTGGAAAAGAGCGGCAGCAAAGTTTCTTGTTCGCGACATCCAAATAATTCTCGGCAAAAATATGTCACTGGTTTATGATTTCCCCCTTTTGCTGCCTTGAGATTCTGAGTACGTGACGTTCTAGTCAACTTAAGATGTTATGTCTACTTCAGAGCCACGATACATGCATAGAAAGGTGATCCCGAGGAGGAAAGTGCTTCTGAAATACATGTAAATGATTCGTTGGCCGTCGTTACATACGGAAACTTTTGAATAGGATTGTAAATGCTAAGTCGAAGATGCACGAGCAAGGACCTTTTTCCATCTGCTGAACTGTTTGAACTAGGGGGTACATGTGGAAATGGTGGATATCCGGGAGCAAAGTTTATAGGTCTTTTTTCCAGTTTGTTGAAGTATTGAGGTTGGTAGTATACATGATGAATCCTGTGTTTTTAAAATACACGATCGGCAATGTAGATCGAAGGGGAGGAGAGAACATCTTGAGCTTGGGGATGGAGGATGGGATTTCGTGAGAAAATGAGGTGAATTTGTTGTTGTAGTAAACTATGAATACAATGTGGTAGAGCCGAAAGGATTTGCCGAAACAGTAGGAGGAGCTCGGAACTAAACAGATATAAATACAAATGCCTATCAAAGACGACGCAAAACGATAGAGAAATACCTAGCCAACCACGAACAAATAGTCCATGTTGAAAAGATCAGTGCAATTCTTTCAAAACCTATAAAAATCGATCCACAATACAAACCACCTCTTTCTATTCTTCCTATACTGAAACTGCACATATCAATTCTACTTCCCAAGTCCCCTTTGTTTCTCACCCTTTCACCACAGGCTAAAATTCGGATTCCGGAAAACATCTCGCCTTAGCTTCTTCTCGGCCCGAAAAACTAGACATTAGCTTCCTTCCGCTACATCCGAGTTCCGATCTATACGAATGGATCTAGAACATTTGCTAAGTGGGACTTTGGGATACGTCATGACTGCTTTAACTCTTGACTTTCTTGATGTCTTTGTATTTTGGGAATCAGATTCTTAATTCTTGGATTTATTATTTCATATAGTTAGTGAGAACTTCCTCCTTGTGAATTTTCCTATCATTACACAGTGAAATACTTTGAATATCTTGGATCTCTAAGGATTCTTGCACAATTAAAGCGGTTAAGGAAAAAATAATAATGTCAAACCCTCAAGAGAAAAGAGTGCAAGCCGGTGAGGTAGAAAAAGCTCATGATATATCTACTCTGAGAAATACAGAATGTAAGAAAGTTCTACCCGCCTTCCCTGCTTCTTTCTGCCTTATCCCCAGCCTCCAAGTCCTCTCTGTTTATACATCCCTCAATTCCTTCCCTCTGCATCCAAAACTGTCCCCATCTCATCAAAATACCATGCATCTCAAGCTGACACCCCAAAAACAGGGTCAAAACCTGAATATACCCTTCCTACCCCCTCTCTACAGTTCCTCTTCCATCTAGAATGTGACATGGAGGAGTTCCACCCCATCGGTGATGGAGGACATGGTAATCGCGCTACTGTTATTTTCAAAGGTTTGTCCTTCTTCCCCTTTCCCACTTTCATTCCCTCCTATCTTGTTACATCCTTTGTATCTCTCACGAGCTATGACATAAAGCTCACGACATCCAGGCGGACGTTTCGAAGGTCCTCATCTCCGGGGCACCATTCTCCCCGGCGGCGGCGACTGGGAAACCATCCAAAACACTCCTTCCCAATCTCTCCAGACAGCTCACCTTGATACCCGCTATAATCTTCTAACTCATGATAACCACTGCATCTACCTGCGTACAACTGGTGTACGCACTGGACCCCGAGATGTTCTAGAGGCACTTGGGGAAGAAGATAAGCATACTGCTCATGACTATAAGATGCGCTTGAACCTCACATTTGAATGTGATGATGCGGGGAAGTACGGGTGGTTGAATCGAGTTGTGGGGATTGCTAGTAGTGGGAGAAATGGAGGGAGGGTGATTTATGATGCTTTTGAGGTTTTGTAGGGGGAAGGAGGGAATCTGAAGAGGAGAGGATGCCTAACATAGAGAGGCATTGTATATATATTTGTATGATTGTAAATAATGAGTGTGATGATTGCTTGAAGGAAATCGCGCGCATAATTGGGAGGTTCTGATGTCGATCATAAAATGAAACACCACCACTAAGAACAGTCGATAATAGATCAAAAGCACGCTCGTATGAAAAATTCAAGACACTTGTTTTGCAACATAACTCTTAAAGCCAAACATTCCTCCAAATAATCTTCACACCGTATAAAACGACCCATAACCAGAGTGTTACCATTGCTCCACTCTACACCTCTACCCAAGAAATCCCACGAAAAGCCCAGCCCACACCAAATCAGCACATTCTAACATTTCACTCAACTCATCCCCGAAGCCGAAGTTCGAATAGAACTAGAGGACGGCTCCGACCTGGATACATTCGTTGATGTAGAAGATTCCTCGGTATCCATAGCTTCCATATGTTCCATACTTCCGCTTTCTCCTTCTTTTTCTTTCCCCTTGCCTTGTCCAATGCCAGCAAGGTGGGTACCATTTGTTTCCTGTGCAGAAGTACTGCCATGTGCATTTGCATCGGTCATATGCGTATCGATATTCCCCCCATTCCTTCCATCGCTCTCATTCGAACCTACACTTCCCTCTCTTTCACCTCCCCCGTCTCTCTCATACTCACTCCAATCACTTTCACTCCCACTCCATTGCTCACTCTCCCCATCAACCAACCTCAAAACTTCCTCCACGACCAAAAAATCTCTCTCTAGCACCTCCGCCCAATTTTGGACGTTTCCCAATTCTTTCACCTTCTTCTGTCCCTCCCTAACGACTTTCTCCAATTTATCCCCCTCTTTCCCTAGCTTTCCTATCTCTTTCTTCAATTCGTTTTCCTGTTTCGTCAATGCGCTGCTATTTTGATGGAGATTTTGCGCTCGAAGTTTTAGCGCATGTTCGTGAGGTGTGAAGATATTTTGGATGGATGCATTGAGAGCAGTGCGTGCTTCAGCTATTTGACGGGTAGTTTCTGGAGAGGGAGGCAAAGGTGGAAGAGAGGAGGTAGAGGGGTTGCTTTGAGCATGAGAGTGAGTTGATGTGGAAGCTGAAGCGGATACCGAGTGGGAGCGCGAGTGTGAAGATGCGGAAGAGGGACCGGGAATATCGGGAGGTGGTGGTGCAAGGGAAGAGATGGGCATTATTGTGTAAAGAATTGGTATATGTGAACGGTTGTCGAGATGATGCGATTGAGGATGTGATGCCGAGAATGGAAAGAGGCGGTGTATTGTAATCTTACAATACCAAGCGGTAGATTTGTTTCTTTATTACTTATCAGATGTTTTATTAAACGGCAAAATTGCAGAGCACAAGCTAGATATGCAAAGAAGAGAAATGGAATGGATCCGTACCTTGCAGGTTGGAGAAGGCCATTGAGAGTAGAAACATCACGAGGTTGATAAGAAATGCGGGGAGGAACATGGGTTACATATGGTTACACAAGGGCCTTGCAGCCAATTCAGGTCCAGGTCGATCATTTTGGTTTCCCCAGCTTTTATAAATATCGAAAAGATTGTCTCGAACATTGAATGAGTTTTGACTAATAACATGATTTAAAATTGGTATGTGGGCGATAAAAAATGACAAAAAAAATCGTTGAAAATGGGCTCACACAATTCACGATTGCACCGGTATTCAAATGCTTCATTGTGAGAACAAATGGCAAAGCGGGTATTCTTATTGCTTTTGAATTCATCGTAGCCTATTGCAGAGAACCATTTTTCGCATGATTCCATATCAGGAACTCCATGCCATGAATCCCAATCAAATACAACCCATCCTAAATCCCATAGAAGATGATTTACTTTCTCAATTGGCGTTGGTAGAAAGCCAACTCCTCACCCTCCAAAATGTATCCATCAACACGTCCAGATTGTCCAGGTCTGGATGAGACTGCGGCGTAAAGACGACCAGCCTCGAATTGCTTCTCCAAAGCGGGGTCGACCTTTCCTTGGGCAGCGAATCTCTCGTGGTGCTTCTTCTCAACGGACTTGCTCTTCTTGGTGTCTGGCTCCTCGACAGCTTGACCGGCCTTTTGTTGACGTCTACGTCCCAAGTTTTGACCGTAGTGTGCCTCGTACCATTGTCTGAATGGTGCAGCATCGACTTGAACAATGGCGGATCTGGTGAGGGTGTTGGTTCGGACCAACTCGTTGTTGGAAGGATGGAAAGCGACAACGATCACACGGACCTTACGGGCAATACCCTCGGAGGCCCATGAGAAGTTACCGGCTTCGAGACGGAGAGCACGGAATTTGCGGTTACCACCACGGGTACGGACAAGATGGATTCTCTTGGTTCCGATACGGGTACCTGCTTCTTGTCTTCCGGCTTCGAAAGCGCGCTTCTTCCCTGTAAAAGTCTTAGTTTTCAGGTTGGAACATATATCAATCAAGATATATGGGCTATCTACTACGCACGGTAATGGGATCGCTTGGCGCCAGAGGCGGAGCGTTTATGTCTGCTGTCACGGCTGATACCCATGATTGCTAATTCTGTGGTATGAATATTATTAGCCAAAGTTGAACAGATATATGGACGATTTTTTTATCAATGCAAATGTTTATAATGTCTTATCGAGAAATCGAATGCGCGACCAGCTATGCGATGGCAAAATGCCCGAGGAGATGTGCAAAAGAAGTATTGATATGTGATATGGTGTGCAGTCGATTGAAGAAGGGTTTTGACTCCATCTGAATTATCCACTGTGCAGCTATTCCCAATCTTTTTGTTCTTTTTTTGCTCGACAACCCTCTGTTCCCGCATATTCTGGTTTCGATTTCGTTCTCGATATTCGATCGTAATACAAATAGCAGTTGAGACGTTGGTAAAGTACTGACCTGATGGATTCGAATTACAATCGTTGTCGTCGAAGAATTTGTCGTGAGAGTTTGAAGAATTTCGAATCGAACTTTTGCAAAAATGAAAACGGTGCGAGAAGCTAGTGTGAAGGCTAAGATTAAGCGATTTTTTTTGTCTTCAAGGATTACTATCACGTGACTATTCATCGAGCCTGCCCCTCCATTATTTTACGGCCCAACACACTCGCTTTTTTCACTAATACTTCAATATGAGAACGACAACAAGTCTGATGTTGTACTCAAAACTCACAAAATGGGCAACAATTGAAATCATGGCGAATAGCAATTCAGGTGTACTATTAAATATTAGTATCCTACTCACTCCCTGGAAAATATTCCATGGTATGATTGACTTTATGATATTGAATCATCTGCGTTACTACATAGCATACCAGATATGTTTCTAAACTTGCTATTAGGGATCAGCTGCTATACTATCTTTTTTGTGGGTCGTTATGTCCCTGCCTATTCCTTCCCCATAGTCTTCGAACTAAATCGTGATGGTGCAAACGAATAGCCCATCCAGTGGATAGAGAGATCGAATTGCATCTTTGACCCAAGCATCTGTTCAGAACGTCTTATAAGATAATCTGAGCATCAGAGAAGGAGATGATCACTTCTTTGGTCAATCTTGGACAATTTGCCATCGTCCAGTCTGATGAAAGATATATCGCCCGTGCTTAATTCTTCTCTACGACACATTGTTTGACGATTCCAGTTTGAGAGTTCTTGATTACTAGTTCAGCATCAAAAATATAAGGGAATATTGTCTCCCTTAGAAGGATTTCACTACTGTGGACATTTACCCCTCCTCGATCAGAGCTGCAAGGGGTGGAAACAGAAGCGTTGTACGAATCTTACTTGCCGGATAGGGAATGCCCCAATCTATACAAATTTAGAGGTGAGAATGAGTACGATCATTCCCTGGAGAGTATGTTGATGGCGATCGAGTGGCTGTTGGAGCATTGTGCAGATATAAGGCAATGAATGTGCAAAAGAGGATGTTGGTGAGTCGCTGAACAGGTAATACTTGGTTCGAGTCGTTGAACAGTGGCGTTTTGCTTGACTGTAAGAATGGTAAAGATGAAAGTTTAAAGGAGACGTATGGTGAGTCTGCAATGGATTCTATCCTTAGTTTTCTCTAAAGTTCAGTGGGCTTTTTTATCTTAAAAAGCGTACAAAGAGATACCATACAATGGTGCTTCATTTGCTTTTTTCAACGCTCAATGGATGTGTCGAAAATACAAGACCAGGCCGTTCGATTCCAATTCAATGTGACATACATGTATATCAAAGATGGAATTCACTCTCTTCAACCTCACTCCCGGTTTCATATTTCACTATCATCATAACTGTCGTGCTAGCCCCTGAATTACATAGAGTTCGATTTTCATTGCTTATTTCCAGATATCTTGTTGAGTTGTATCAGCTCTATGTGTTATCAGTATCGAGTTATTCTTATACACCCCCCTGTCTACGACAAGGGCCCCCATTGGTCTCACAATGAGGAGTAAAATGGATGTAACCTCCCATCACACTTTCACGCTCGAACTTAATTGACAACACTTTCATTCCATATCACCTCTCCAAGGTTACTCAATTCCAAGATGGCCGAAGTCTACAAGCTACCTGGCCATAAAGTCGACGTCAAGCTCCTTGTCTTTGATCATGAGATTCATTGCCATTCATTGATGCTGAAGCTTGGTTCGGCTTATTTCAGAAAATTCCTCGACTCAGCAGACAAACCCCCAGCTCCTGCGAATGCAACTTTCAGATACGAATACGTTACCATTCAAGATACCCCGAAGATGTTCCAAGCCTTGAAGTCGCATCCAAGGTTAGTTTTATTGATCGCTACAAATTGAACAAATCCTCGAATTCTACATCTCACATTTGACACAAGGCTAATGGAACCACTCCTAGGTTGAGGGCAGAGGTGATAAGCCTGTCGACACTGAATCCGACCATTGGTACATTGCTTTCAAACATATGACTGATTGTATGTACGGGAAGTCCTTCACACTCGCCAGTTTTGATGATATCAACTTTTTGGCCAAGGTTGCAGATTTTTATGGTGCGCTGCCAGTCGTTTCAAGGTCATTGGATACAGTATTCTTCCGAAGCCCAGAATTCATCGAGCAAATACCTGATCATGCTGGCTCTCTCTTGAAGATTGCCTACCAATTCAGAAATCGAACTCTGTACAAGGAATGCATGATTTATGTTGCTGGTCGGTGGAAAAGCGACCCTTGCATAACAGAAGATGATATGGATCTTCGCATCCGAGTTCTCGCTGCATATGGAAGCGTTTGCGACAAACTTGTCACAGCGAATCATGCTTTGATCAATTTGGTTGCAGATCAGTATTTGGATAAAAAAATCCATGAAGAGCTACGTTGTATGGCGGAAAACTACTGCTGGTCGCTAGCCGCTTATTATCGAGAATTTTACGATAAACACTACACTCCGGATATCGATCGGGTTCTGACTAAGGTACTGACTAGTAGTCTAATCCTTGATCCTTCTAAACTTGGAGCAGGTCAAGGGAAGTTCAGAGATTTTTTTGTTTGCGCGGAAATCGCAGACAAAGAACTCCCGTGGGATGGAGAAGAAGAAGACTGGTAGAGGCTCAAATCTCAGTAGCCGCAATCGGCTTTCGAGCTTATCACTCTTATAGTTTCTGGATTCCAGTACCAGATGAGAATTCTAAAGCTAGGTAATACTTGAACCACGATCTTTCAATTGGTAAGTCGATTGATTGCACCTGTTCCCTCAATCTCAACATCTGGGATTTGAAAGCCAAGGTGCCTGTACGCTTAACTGATACACGCTAGTGTCTTCCTCCAACATTTTTATGCAATAGTTCACGAATGCAGGCTAAGTTACTCACATATTGCAACGAGAGGATGGAAGTGGTGTCTAGGCTGATCATTCCTCATATGGGAGTTGTTTGGGGCTCTCGACAGACAACTTGTCACAATTACAAAACAATTTCAATGATGTTACACGGTTTCAAAACAGCTTCTGCTAATGACAAAATGAATTTATAACCAAGCATTATGTAGTCTATATGCTGTGACTTTTATCTCCTGTAAAAGAGGCTATGCCCTTCATTTCTTTTACCAGTATTCCAAGAAATCCCAAACTCGACAAAGAAACTTGGTAAAGGGCACGGTTATATCGTCCCACCGATAGACTTCATACATACACACACCCACGTCATCATAATGCTATTATCATAGATTATAAAGGTTACAGGTCCGTCTCTTGACCCCGTGAACAAAACGATACAAAAATTCTTGGTGCTCCAAATATCTATCTTTCCTCTACTTCCCGAGCCCGTTCAATCACGCATCATCCATTCCCCAGAGGTTCCATTCACACCCAAAGCGGAAATCCAGATAATTGGATTTCAGATGGAGAAATGGCAAACGAGAATCCGCCAAAATGTCGAGGGGGGCGAGATTAAGAGCTGCTGGGACGAGACTGCAGAGACTTTGGATCGAGGCTGTGAAGGGAATGGTGGAGAATTTACAGGCGCCTCAGGGGACGCATGAGGACTATTGATGATATTGCTAGGTCTTCAGCGGGGGTTTACTCAAAAGGAAATGGTTTTATACTTGATTGAAGTACGTGGTGTGCGTAAAACCAGCCCTTTACTTGCTTGCCTTTGAATCACACGCAGAAGGTACTCTCCGAATCACTGTATAGCATTTAACAGAACATACACGAAAAACCCAATCTTAAGATCTCGGCCATCCCAAGTTTTACAATGCAAACGGTCGTCTAAGTTTTTGATCAATTCTCACCATGTATTGACTCATGTACAGAAATAATCAGAGCAATCAATCCAAATGTATCGAGAAATCAGGAACTGCACTAGCAGCGAATAATCGCGACAAAGGTGTCCAGTTTCCTATTCTCATATCAATAAAATACGAAAGCACTCCCAAACTCTACGATTTTGTCTGCGTATCTGCGCAAGTAACACGGGGCTTAGCTTCGAGAATAACCGAGGTGTAGCGCCTATTTCTGTACGACGTATTGATGACTTGTCTCATGTTACACGAGATGAAAGCACAAGGCTGTGTAACCAATACGAGAAACCCACCGATCGCCTGAATGGATTCTCAAGAAGCGAGATATCGGATCCTTCGGCGCTGTTTTCCCCAAACGTACTTTTTATGAGCATTGTTGACATTTTTACAAATAGCAGCGCGGAGATAAGAGATGTCTTCCGAAAGGTGGCGCGACGTCGGGTGCGCTTACCATTATTACTTGGCAAGTATACTGCCCTAGATGCCTGATAATGTTCAACCTGCTGAATGTAAAGTGAGAGAATTGGTCGGAGTACGAAGATGTAGGATCGTTGTCGGCTCTCTAATACCACACAACTGCCCCTGAACAAGAAATGTGAAATGTAAGATTCTAGAATCAGGCACAATGATCTCCGCATTTCGAGATTGCTGACCTAGAGGTATAATCATGAATACGCTCGATACAAAATTGAAGGTCAGACTGCACCTTGGCGGGTAGCATATACTGTTGCCTGAAGGGCATGCCAACATTTTGATCAAATTCCGCACTACTCAAGAGTCTTGTTGCCGGGGCCTAGAACACTGAAATCTTAGAAATGAGGTTTTTGCATAACATGATTTACGGGAAAGACCGAGATTTCAACTGCATGTGCGCCTCTTACTACTGTGCTAGCCGTTTCGTCGGGTTATATACAGCTCGAGAAGTACCTCGAATCCAGGCAGCATACGATAGCTCTGCCATTAAGTGCTTATTCTCAAGACTTTTAACAGTCAGAAACAGACGATACAGTACGAAAATGTACTTAGATCCAGCTTGGTTGACGGTTGGAGGCTTCTAATCACCCATGCTGCTTGCTGATATGATATGAAGTTGCAGTTGATGAGCGTGTGTGTGTGTGGTTCCATCGGCTGTTCTTTACAACTCCCAGTGATTGAACGACGTGACCCTAGCGTATATTTGTACAGTCTCAAACCTAACGACCAACATGGTAGGAAAAAATATCACCACACCCAATCACAAGAGCTGTTGGCGAGCAAGCCAATTCTCGGCCAACTGCAAAGTATTTTTTAAATCGATCGCGTGTCGAATCAAGGTTCATGACTGTAATGTGTCTTGTTGGATGTTCAACCAAACTATCGGTATCAACGCAATCCTGACAATCATACTGTATCATCCAATTTCACTTCGCAGCATCCATCAACAGCGAAATTTCGTGTGCATCCGTCACAAGATTCCAGTTTGAAAATCGATGCAGCTGCTGCCTGCTGTCAGTCAGACATGGCCTTTCTTGAAGGTGTCCATGATAAAGGAAATAATATACAAGGGGTACTGGGGTGAAGGAGGGGAAGGTGGTCAATACTACGCTGGAGAGAATTCGAAAGAAGGATCAGGAGTCAAAAGCAGACGGTTAAGAAATGGATGAAAAAGCACAAGGTTTCTCATCGAATTCGAAAACAAAAATGGATTTCATTACATACACAAGAAATGATGTTACGAGACAGTAGTGGCAAAGAGAGAATCAGCTTGTAGAAGCCGTTATTTTGCTAGGAGTAGTTTGAGATGATAATTTCAACTCCAGATACATCTTCAACCGGATTACCAGTCCGATTTAGCCGGAAGCGCTGACGAAGTGGGGGCCGATTTGACAACGTGGCCAAGGCGGGAACGAGTACGAAAATTTGAATAGTTTAAGTAAAAACTCGGTACTCAATAGGTGAACCAAACTACCGGGTCCGCATTCGTGATCTGATAATTCCAAACTCGGACAGGGAGAGCGGAGATGCGCTTTGTAAATATATCTGACAATTTACCCAGCAGTAATAAAGCTACCACATGAAACGATATGTTGAAAGAGGCCCTCCATAAGGTCCACTGCTGACAACCACTTCAAAAAGGCCCACACGCAATGGAACGTGATTTTCGAGTTATCAGTGATGGCACTTGTATGTAAGGATCAGCTGCGGCGTGAACTTTCAACACACCTGCATTCCACATCCGAATGCGGCCATCGGCATGCCGTTAGATTCGGGTTCGAATGTCAGCAATGTTACTTTTTTTCCTAGTGGTAATGCCTTCAAACTTTGCTCGATTTATTTGAGGTTCTAAGTTGAGGGCGACTGGCAAGATTTAACTCAGAGGATGATTGGCTGTGTTGCAATTTTTGTATTCATCAAATTAGTGATACGGACTCTCATCACACCCGTTTGAATGCGTGCCGATATGATTCACTGTGGAGCTGGCCATTAACACATCTCAGTATGCGCGTAAGAGGCGTACGCAAACTGGTATGCCAATAAGCGAGCGTCCGAATGTGAAAGTGACTGCATTTGTGCTACCAATACCAGAATTGCAGATCAGTGATTGCAGATCGAAAGAATTAGATTGGTTTTCCAGACTCTTGAAAGGAAGGGAAATTTCTTGTTCCCGAAATAACTTCTCTTTTCTGACAACAATTTGTCATACTAAAGAGTTAATTCATGGAGCGTCCATCTCGTATGACGGGTGTTGGGATCTGCTATATCCAGATCTTAATTTTCCCTGTTTGAATAGCACAAATTTAGCGCGTCTGGCGGCAGCGTAGGCAAGTAAATCCTACAAAATAGCATGCATACACACCGAAGAAAGACATCTCGTAAGCTGACGTATTAAAATCGTTATAGGCGGGACTTATGGTTACGGCCCATGCCGATAACACCAAGGGGTGATTCTAAATTTGTGTGGAAGCTTTGGCGTCTGACTGTACCGAGCATAAGTTTCTCTAACCCACAAAGTTGTATGCAGAAGCGATCTTGGTCCGTGGTGGGTGCCCATACCAAGCTTAAGCGATTGCTACTGATAGATCTGAGACGGGTAAGGCTAATTACTGTTTTCTTCTATCAAATTCCCAAAGCTAATAACAAGTAGCCGACCAAAGCGGCACCGATAATCTTGAACATGCGGGTTATGTTGTTTACTGTAAATTTCCCCTTCATTTAATCCGCGAATATAATGTTTATATGTACTCCTGGCAATATATCATAATGAAACCTTGACAGCTTTTAGGTGGTTGATAAGATAAAACCAGTAATTTTGGTTTGTTCCGTGTGTCATGCTGACAACGCCTTCCCCTCCAATCAGGAAACTGATTGAGCTATCGGAAATCGGTCGATTTTACATGCAATGCAGATGGAACTAATGGCAACGATTGAAAGCGGCATTACAGCTTCCCGGAGATGATTGTTGATACTATTGGCATTAACATTAGTGATGAACCTGAGTAGATACAACAAAACATCTTATAATAGATGATAATTAGATGTTATGGCGACAGAATCGAAGGTGTAACCCGGTCTAGACTCGAGCGAAAGAGCTCATCCGCTATTTCTCCATATTGAAGTATTCCTGTCACTATGCGGTAGCCCTCAGGTAACCTCTCGTCATTCTGCCTGCATGTAACCCGAATTTCTTTACTCCATCGATCGACCTCAAAAGACTCTCCATAGCATCTTGCATTTTCACGAATCGTTCCAAATTCATCCATTCCTGGTTGTTCAAGTGCCATCTTCCATATCGCGATTCTTGCAATCACGCGGCTATCCCATGCGCCCTCTCGCCGATGAGAAGAAATTAGTAGCTTCAATGCTTCACCACGTAATGCCGGCGAATTGCGGCAGTACAATGCGACTTCGAATAATGGTATCGTGGTGCGAATATCAAAATTAAATGATGATTTGCCTGTGAATTTAGTGAGCATATCATAAAATATCACCAAGAAAGATAAAATGTACTTCGCAACAAATATTTTTCATAGTCAATGATATCTCGCGTGTAAGAGACGATATATTGAAATGGCTCCAGGAGCTCGTCCGTGACCGATTGCGGTTCGTTGAGACTTGTGGCAAGCTTGATAATACTGATTAATATTCGCATTCTCAATGATTCAGGTCTTAGCACCGGATGTCCAGTGATATTAGGTTTGCAATCGGACATCCATGTAGATCGACGGAAGACAGTATCCCATTGTCTCAATTCCGCTACATAATAGTCTCTCAGCTTGATGGCCGAGCGAGGAATATTTCTTCTCGGTGTGAATCTATATTTGAACATCTCTATGTAGAGGTTGTTGGCTCTTGTGACAAGTACACTTCGAGTTTTGACTGCTTCCTCTATACTAGAGAAGAATTCCGGGATATAAATCTGCTCTTTTCCAAATATAGCTTGGCGATAAGAGAACTCCGATTCGAAGCCCATAGTGGAGTAGTTGACACTATCGAGACTCATCAGGATACTAACGAATCTATAGTCCAGGAGTTTTGAGGTCTCTTTCGTAAGCAATGATCGGGCACATTGCATATGAGAAGTTGCTAGATCTCGATTTCCATAGAAGCAATCAAAGTGGGCTAGTATCGTAGCGGCAATAAACAGTGTTCTTGAACGTTCAGGTGTACTTTTTGTGTCTGCTATGAAGTCTCTCGTTGACTGCAATGCTTTGCCGTATTGTTTAAGAGCGAATTGTTCATGATCTTGAGTTTTTTGTGAGCTGATGGTGTCCATCTGAAAGCTCCGCACAAGGGCAGAAATAGCGACAATTCCATGACTAATACATGGCGTAAAAAAGCTCTCCTGGAGAACGACTTCGGTCCAAAAGAATGACTCGATCGATCTGGCTGTACGGCGTGTTGTGTCCGCGATCATGCCATATGGATCGGTAGAAGTCGCAGAAGTAAAGTCTTGAAAGTATAGCCATTCTTGCTGACTAAGATTTAGGTAAGACAGTTGATGATATGGTAGAGTTGGTGGTGCCGGGCGTATAGGAACTAGGCTTTGTCGAACAGTTTCTTTCTTTTTCGTTGATATTGATGCTTGTATAGTGTAACCACGACATCGAATCCCGGAATTAGAACATCGAAAACAAGCTGGTTTTCCTTCATCGCATTTAAGTCTTCGAAATCTAAGTATATCAAGTCAACATTATGCTCGAAATAAAGTATTGATTGATAAAACCTACTTGCAAGTCACGCAACCCGACCTGACTTTAGGCCTAGAAGCTCTTTTTCTGATATAATCTGACATTTCGGACATTATTGATTGGTGACGTTGAATGGAGAATTCATGGAACTATAAATCTTGAAAAATATGCGAGGACTGGTAGTTAACATTTATTAAAGTTATATGCCAATGTACCGAAAACTTCCCCTCGAACCCACCTTGAAAATGGCTGAGGTTTGCGGCTAAGGTTGCAAGGGTCGGCCGTTGACAGGGCTGGGCATGGTACAGTGACAGGTAATCCTCTGGGGTCGTAACGAAAGGGCGTGCAGGATATAATCATGCCAGGGTCATAAGTGGAATACTGCATATCAGACAATAGTGAGATTAATATCAAGGGGAGGGACTCATCGGACATTTGACGAATGAGAGAACCTCCAGCTGCTGAATGTGCTGCATTCAGGAAGCTCTCGTCTCATCTATTTATGAACATTTTGATTGCTCATACGGTAGTGGTTGCACTTGCATAGTTTCTTCCTAAAGAAAAATACAATTGTAGTAATAGATGATCGAAAACAATATGGACAACGTTTACCTATAAGGACAATCCCAAAGGCAAGTAGCCAACTATTCTAATGGATAAATGGTGAAACTTCCAAATATCTTTGCCCCATGGGATATTCATGCAAGTCGTGTTCTTCTGAGAGCTAACGATAATTTGAAGAATTGTTGTAACACGCTCAAAAGCTCGCCAGACTTTGCACCAACTGTACATTCTGGACCTGAGCTATGCCGATCTGTGAGGCATATCCGACCGATTTCAAATCGGCGCTCAAAACAAACTTTGACATCAAACTCTTTATTGGGCATCAGACGATGATTTGGCAGCAAGGCAAATAAGCAATAACTAGCACAGCTATGTCTATACAAAAGGTGCCTAAAAAGATGCAGAGGATTCGATGACATAAGAAATTTCGTGACATTGTAATATTTGACCTTGCTTTGGAATACACAGCCGCCCGAAGCATCTAGAACTAAGAATACCTTGAGCGTTTTGGCATTTTGCTGTATAATAGGACAACCTTTTGAATTCCCAGAAACAGAACCAACAGTTGGAGGTTTACGTAAGCAAGCTCGGTTGGCCGGACACGAGCCGGACTAGCTAGCGTGGGGACTGCTCGGGCTGATTGTTAGAGACCAGGTCTACCAGGTCCCGAACAATTGATTACCTAATCAGAGCCAATTTTTTCTTTGTCAATTTGTGATCTCCGCCATCATTACCTACAACTTTATGACCCCTCGGAGAAAATATATCTTACACATTTTAAAAACAAACCAGCGACTTTACGCTTCGAAGATCATTGCAGAAGGGCAGAAAATATGGCCGAGAATATTTACGACGAAATCGAGATCGAGGATATGACTTATGATCCAGTCCTACAAATTTATCATTATCCATGTCCATGTGGCGATCGATTTGAAATTGGCATTGCTGATTTGAGAGATGGCGAAGACATTGGAGTCTGTCCAAGTTGCAGTCTGATGATCAAAGTTATTTTTGAGGTGGTGAGTTTCACTCTTTTTGATGGGAAAATTTGCTCGAAGCCAACATGGTGGCATACCATTACGGCTTCTTTTATGTGAAAGATATTCTTGAAGTATATTCTAATCATGCCGTGACGTAGGATGATCTACCAAAGCCGGAAGGAGATCAAGGTGGCCCTCAAGTGACGATTGCGACATGAGCAGGTTGATGATCCGAGGCTATTTATATCATGCATCGACCGGAAAATGAAGGTTTTGCTGGAAGATAGAATAATTGATGGAGATGTGAAAGTGAGGACAGAAATACTTTCCAAAACATAATTCGCGCCCAACGATGGTCGTTCAATCCAGCGCCATTCTGCGAAGAAACATTCCGCAAGAATAGAACCAGATTGGGTCAAACCAAGGTCACAGGGGACAAGCAACAATGAGAATTAGATCTCTAAGAGAAGTTATATTGTGTCTATAATGAGCAGGCAGTCAGAAGTTTAGACTGTGTCCATTATCATCAGGTAATGCCCAAACTAAGAAGCTACCTCAATGTCTCATCGGTTCCCCATATTCATGAATCTGAAGTCGTGAAAATGCCACTGCCAGAAAACGCCGGTTGATTTTCGATTTAGAGCTCACCATTTGCAAAAACAAAAAATTGTTCTCGAGATCCATCCATGGATTTGCCTAGGCTGTGCAGGTGATCACTCATCTCTTTGTATATCAGGAGTGTATGAACTCGATAAGTCGACACCGACCTCATTCAACAGTAGTTCGTTCAAAGACGATCCATCTCTCAAGTATATCCACTCCCCTGATCCTGTGCCTTCCTTTGAATCTTGACCCTCACTCGTAATCACGAAATCGTAGCGCTTTGGCCCAGATGTGGGAGAAGAAAGCCAAATTTGTTTATTTGGTGGCTGCTTGTTGATGACATAGGTGCCGATGGGTGGAAATGAAAGTGTCAGAACCCCAGCCTATAGATCTCAGTCAATTCTGTGAAATCACCTCATAGAAGGCACGTGAGCCTGGAGAAGAAACGTACGCTGTATTCGACATCAACATCTTCCCTCTCCTCTTGCAACTCCTCTAACTTCTCAACCATCATGTCCATGTACTTGTCCGATAACTCATTGTATTGTTCTTGACTGAGCTCAGCAGCTTGTTTTGGTTCTGGATTGCTTTCCAGTATCTTAGGTTGAGGATTCTCGGATTCCGGGGACAATCCTTTGCCCACTTTGTTCGAAGTTGTGATAGGGCGGTAGGTTTGATAAACAAGACTTGCTCGAATGGTTGGAAACGTTCGACCGCGCGCAAGGAAATTTCGAGAGGTGCCACATCGGCGGGGTGCACAGCGAAGAATCTTTGCGAGGAATGTGCGAGTCATTGTTTCGTTTAAATGGAATGCTTTGTAGGATAGAAGAGGAGGATTAATAGAGTTCTGGTGGATAGATGAATTGATTGTTCCAATTCTATTTCGTAGGGGTTGATAAACAGATTGGTCGCACAGAGCTCAATTGAATTAAGCTTTGAGCTAGCTACCCCACGTTTTTTCGCTTCATTGGCATATCGGGATTTCCACACCACGATCCTATCACCTGCATCGTGTTCAGCCTTCTTTTGTCGGCCTTCGACATAATTCTTTGTCAACAACAAACTCATTTGGTTCTCCATATACTTGCACTCAAAGATGATCAACGCAGTTCTTGTCTTCAACAATGCTGGGCAACCACGGCTTACGAAATTCTACACACAACTAGTGAGTACCAGCCACTCACCACCCTCCAAATAATCTTTACTAAAAGCCCAACCAGGAAACATCAGTTCAACAGCGACTTATTTCAGAAATATTCACACTCGTCTCTAATCGTCCTGCAGGCTCATGCAATTTCCTTCCGCTTCCGCCTCTTCTCGCCTCCTCCTCCACATCCAAAACAGATTCATCTCCTCATAACGATATTCCTTCCCTCGTCACATATCGCCATTATGCGACGCTATACTTCATCATTATTTCAACATCTACCGAATCACCACTTGCTCTTATTGATCTGATACAAGTATATGTGGAGGCACTCGATCGTTTATTTGAGAATGTATGCGAACTAGATTTGATCTTCAATTTTGAGACGCTGCATGCAACTTTGAGTGAAATGATCGTCGGCGGTGTTGTTATCGAGACACAGCTAGAGAGAGTTGTGGAAGGCGTGAAGGCACAGGGGAAGGTAGCAAAGAGACCCTTGAATGAAGGAAGGGGCGGAGCATTAGGGGGTATGGGAATGGGGGGAAATTTTGCCTGGGCTACTCGATGAAAGTTAGCGACAGTTCTGGTCACACACAAGACCGACTACAATCAGAGAACGCCCATGATTAAGCAAGACCACAAGATTGCAGAAATACTCGATCGAAGGCTGGCAGCGAGGAACATACCGGAGGGCATTTTTAGAAGGTATTTCAACCCTCTCAATACCAAAGTTGGTTCATCAGCTTGAATAACATAAGTCTCATATCTACTTGTTATGAGCACAAAAGAGCCCCAAATGTTGTCAGCACACCGCTCTTCTTGGTTACATATATACATATATATCACCACCAAATTGTGCTCTCAACATTTAACGATGATTCAAGATTGCAGAGTGTCTTCGAGTAAACCAGATCTGTGAAAGAATGAAGAGCAAGCAGGGATATCTTGTGGAGGATTTCTGGTCCATGCATCATGTACAGTTCCAGCCCATTGGTATCTAACGCCTCCACGCCGAGAATATACTACTACAAATTATACAATATCGCGACGTTCTAGCATAGCTTCGAAAACATGACCTGTGCTTCAGGTGCTATTCTTTGCTACAGGTGATACATCTTCGGCTTGATTTACACGTTTGTGAACTTGGTCCTTTGACCACAGTGATCCTGTAAGTCCAAAAAACCATTCCCGAACCTGTGATTCGTCAATATTTCATGTCTTTATTAAATGCATAGGTATTCATACTCCTTGAAATGGTGCCTCCTCGTGAACCAAGTTGTCTTTATTCCAATCCGCGAAGAGCACTCCGTAAACTATCACAACTGTTTCCCATATATCAGCATTCCGTGATCTGATGTACCCATTCATAGTCTACCCACATAGAATAGAACTCAATTGTGCGACTTTGACAGCTTTTGTCCATCTCGGTCTCGCCCACTTGAGCTTCGTTCTCCTTTTGTATCTTCGTTCAAGTCGGAATTGATGCTTTTGTGATAATTTGGAGAAATCGGGAGGCCACAGTCTTTTTGCTTTGTAAGGATTTGTATTCGGATCATATGGTAGCTCTAACCGGGTCTGCTGGGCAGCACGTCTAACAAGTGTGCGGAACATTCTTGTTGATGCTATAACTATGAAATCGTTTTAAGCTTCAGTTGAAGCTGGACAAGATTGTAATTGTTTTTGCCTTAGGCATCTATGCATAAACATCCCACCAGCCCGCAATTTCTCAGTGGGTAACCCGAATTTCAGTGCGGTCTCTCTGACTCAGTGAAACTTTCAAAGCAACAACATATACTCTGCAGAGGGGATATTGAAAGGTCTAGAATTTCAATATTGCAATCATGGCAGCTGTTGAAGCCACTGCGAAGGCTTTGGAGAATGCCACAATCTCCAAAACCAAGGAGTTGAAAGGTGTAAGTACCCCTCAATTGGCTGATTCACAATAGTTACTAACCACGAAACCTTTTAGACTGAAAAGAGAGACAAACTTATTGCAATCGAGAGAAAGTACCAAGCACAATGGGAAAAGGATGGTGTATTTCAACCAGATGCTCCTTCAACTTCCGATGTTCCCCTCCACTCTGTCTCCGCCGCAGAGTTGCGCGAACAGCACCCTAAATTCTTTGGTACCATGGCATATCCTTACATGAACGGCACTCTTCATGCTGGTCACAGTTTCACTGTCAGTAAGATCGAGTTTACTGCAGGTTTCGCACGTATGCAAGGAAAGAGAACTCTGTTCCCTATGGGTTTCCATTTGACAGGTTTACCTATCAAAGCAGCCGCCGACAAGCTTGTGAAGGAGATCAAGCTTTTCGGAAAGAACTTTGAAAACTACAAGGAAGAAGAGGCCTCGGAAGAGAAGACAAATACCCCTACACCAACCACCCATCACGAAGACGTCACTAAATTCACCGCGAAAAAGGGAAAGGCTGCCGCAAAAGTTGTTAAGATGAAGTACCAATTCCAGATTATGGGGGCATTAGGCATTCCATTGGAAGACATCCATCAATTTGCAGACCCACATTACTGGGGTGCCTACTTCTCTCCTCTGTGTAAACGAGACCTTACGAATTTTGGAGCTCGTATTGACTGGAGGAGATCGTTCGTTACAACTGACGCCAACCCATATTACGATGCTTTTGTTCGATGGCAGATGAATCGTCTCAAGGAGCTTAAGAAAATCAAGTTCGGAAAGAGATACACAATTTACTCGCCAAAGGACGGACAACCATGCATGGACCATGATCGAAGTGACGGAGAGGGTGTTGGCCCACAAGATTACTTAGCTATGAAGTTGAAGGTCTTGGAATGGTCGTCAGAAGCCGAAGCTGCTATCAAGGATAAGGTACCAGCAGATGCGGATATTTTCTTCGTACCTGCTACTCTTAGACCAGAGACGATGTATGGTCAAAATTGTTGTTTTGTCGGACCTAAGATTACGTATGGTGTTTTCAAAGTTTCAGAAAAGGAATACTTCGTAATTACCGATCGCGCAGCAAAAAACATGTCGTATCAAGATATTTTCTCTGAAAATGGTAAAGTCGACAAGGTTGCAGAGATTGTTGGTTCAGCATGTGTTGGAACCTTGGTCAAAGCTCCACTCTCTGTACACAAGGATGGTATTAGAATACTTCCTATGGAGTCGGTCCTTCCTACCAAAGGTACTGGAGTTGTCACCTGTGTACCATCTGACAGTCCAGATGATTATGCGACTATTATGGATCTCGCGAAGAAGGCGGAGTATTATGGTATCAAAAAAGAATGGGCCGAATTAGAAATTATTTCTGTCATCAATACGCCTTCATTTGGAGATATGTGCGCTCCGTTCTTGGTGAAGAAGCTCAAGATTGCTTCACCAAAGGACAAGACAAAATTGGAAGAGGCAAAAGAGCTTGCTTACAAGGAGGGTTACTATCAAGGTACCATGACATTTGGAGAGTTCAAGGGAGAGAAGGTCGAAGTTGCCAAACCAAAGGTCAGAAAGCAAATTATCGACGCTGGTGAGGGCTTTGCATACTCAGAACCCGAGCGAAAGGTCACCAGTCGATCTGGAGATGATTGCTGTGTTGCATTAATGGATCAATGGTACCTTGACTACGGAGAGGACTCCTGGAGAAAGGAGGCCCTCGCACATGTTGATTCTGGTTTGAACACTTACTCGCAAGAGACCAAAAACGGATTTGAAGGTGTCCTCAACTGGCTCAATCAATGGGCCTGTGCCAGAACTTATGGTCTTGGATCGAAACTTCCCTGGGATCCTCATTTCTTGGTTGAAAGTTTGAGCGACAGTACCATTTATATGGCATACTACACCATTGCTCACTACCTTCACAACGATATTTTCGGTAAGACTCAAGGTCTTGCTGGAATAAAAGCAGAGCAGATGACAGACGAGATTTGGGATTATGTCTTTGCTCGTCGGGATATAAGCGATGAAATCTTGAACCAGAGCAAGATTCCAAAGGAGACTCTCGAGTCTATGAGAAGAGAATTTGAGTACTGGTATCCACTTGACCTAAGAGTATCAGGAAAGGATCTTATTCCTAACCATCTCACTTTCTTCCTTTACATTCATATTGCCATATTCCCTCCAGAGTACTGGCCAAAGGGCGTCCGTGCCAATGGCCACTTGCTCCTGAATGGAGAGAAGATGAGTAAATCTACTGGTAACTTCATGACATTATTTGATATGATCAACAAATATGGTGCAGATGCCAGTCGTATCGCATTGGCTGATGCCGGAGATGGAGTTGCAGATGCTAATTTCGAGGAAGACGTTGCTGATAACAATGTTCTCCGTCTCTACACCCTTCGAGAATGGTGTGAGGACATGGTCAAGGATCAAAATAACCTTCGTACTGGGGAGAAGAACGACTTCCTTGATGCACTCTTCGAGAACGAAATGAATGTTATTGTTCACGAATGTCGTCAACATTACGAAGCAACGGACTACAAACTTGCCCTCAAACTGGCTCTTTATGACTTCACAGGCGCTCGTGACTTCTATCGTGAAGCCAGCATCGCTGCCGGTATCAAGATGCATAAAGATCTGATCTTCCAATATATCGAGCTTCAAGCTCTTCTTCTGGCTGTCATTGCACCTCATTGGTCTGAATATATCTGGCTCGAAGTCCTCCACAAACCCACTACTATTCAAAACGCCCTTTACCCCGACGTTCCAGCTCCAATTCCAGCTCTCAGTGCTGCTCGCGATTACGTCCGCTCTACATCCTCGAATATCACTTCTGCAGAAGCCGCTCAACAAAAGAAGAAAGCAAAAGGAAAGGACATCGGATACGATCTCAAGAAACCCAAGAAGCTTACCATCTTCTCTGCCGCTAAATTCCCTGTTTGGCAACAAAAGTACATCGACCTTGTTCGCGAATCTTGGAACCCAGAGACAAAGACTGCTAATGACAAGGAACTAAATGGAAAGATTGCTAAGATGGGTGAAATGAAGAAAGCTATGCCTTTTGTTCAAGTCTTGAAGAGGAGATTGCAAAGTGGTGAGGCTCCAGAGCAAGTGTTTGAGAGAAAGTTGGCCTTCGATGAGAAATCGACACTCAAGAACATGGTAGCTGGCCTTAAGAAGGCGGCTGGGCTGTCGGTTATAGAATTAGTCATTGTAGATGGTGAGGAAGGCGCAAAGAAGGGTGTTATCGTCCCAGTTGAGGGTGGTGAGGAAAAGGAGTATGGTACTTTGCCAAGCATGGCTGAGCAAGCAATTCCTGGCGGTCCAACATTTTTATTCGAGAATGTTGAGGTTTAAGCAGTAAATTAGATATCAAATTGAAATGTTTTAAGTAATCTGAATGTTTTAAATAGTTTGAATGTCTTAATGATCTGATTAATCGGATCTGAAAAGGCTTTTTTAGAGCTTCCAAGCTTTCAAGATTCTACATTTTGATGATTTGAAAGTTCGAATTCAGCTCACAGTTCTAGAATCCAAATATTCTAGTGAAGGATTCCAATTTTCAGTTCATCGCGCAAGAATTAAATTGTATGATATAGATAATTTGGCTTCTGACAGCATTAAGCTTGTGAAGAAAATTTGCGGCTGTTCCTCCGTGAATTTGATTCAGCAATGAAAAACTTCTGATGGAGCATTTGGAACTCTGCATCACTCCAGCGGACCCAAATTTCAACCATTGGTTTGAGGGTATAGCTATATTTAGATCTGTATGGAATGTAGATGCAGAATGTGTTGATTGCGATATGAAGAGATCTCACATTCCGAATGCGTGTATGGAACGATGAGCGCGGCTTAGCGTGCTAAATGGCAAAATTTGTGAAGCTAATCTTTTCTTGTGGTCAGATCTAGATGGTTCATAATATCTGGTTCGCGGGTGGGTATTTGTTCGTTTATGGTTGTATGTTTGGTGGTCTTCGTAAATACTTTCACGCATGAATTCCGATTTCTCAATACATTTAATTTACTCTTCTTTCTTTACAACTATCTATCTATTTATTTATCTGAACTACCTCTTGAGCTTGATTGAATTCAATATTTTCATGTGCTTAGAGCGATCACTTTAACCACTGCCTACTTTAAATTTATAGAATACTAGTCAAGGGCTGCTTCAAATCATGCCCCTGGGAGGATGGCACAAGTTGTTCTTTTACTCTTTTTTCTTGGTTTGCTATTCTGAAGTTCTTCGTATCTGATAGATAGGAAATGCGCCGGATATTTTTTATTTGCGATAAAGGCAATAGAGAGTGTATGTAGTGTGTGGGCCGCCAAGAGAGATCGTAAAAAGGCTGAAAATATTGACGGTACAAAATCCGCAGATGTATAGAGAACGCAGACACGAGCTAAGTTGAATTTCGCTCTTTACAGAGCAAAAGAGAAACAAAATTCACTGACATAAAAAAGCATTGAAGACCCGAGGATTGTATGCAGCAATGCCCGAGTTCGGCATGCTGAAGAATGCGGACGGCTTAAGCGAGACTGGAAGCATCTCCGTCGGTCTGGAGTCTGCGAACACAAAACTCATTAGCTGATATCAAAAATTAGGAACTAGATTGCAATGGGTAGTCTTGGATGGAAAGAGGTGATGAACACGAATACTGGAGGATTTTTAGTCGGTTCAAGCGCAGTTTTCGAAAGCGGATATTCAAGGAATAAAGAAGTGAATTTGCCTGCTATCAAGCTTGAGCAAGCAGTCGATCCGTCAGTCTAAGTATGTTTCCATGAATAGCTTTGCTCCTATATCCATATCTGTTTTCGTAATCGATACAGAGGAAGCGAGAATCATAAATTGCTTTGTTCATGCACTGATATCTTACCATCCTCTACGTTTTCATGATGAGGTCTCTCCAAATCTATTCCTAATCCGAGTTCACTCCCTCAATCATGGACGTCATATATGTGCAAACGCTCCCAACAGCTATATATAGGACAATTTGCCCCCCTGAACACCCGCTTGCGGCAATAATCGGATAAAGAAGCTCTCCAGAGAGGCACTTGTATATAACCATGACAATCATGTCTGAGCCAGGTTTTGATCTCGTGAAACTTTTCTCATCAGATACCTTCGTTCTAAAGTTTAGAATCCCGATACCTCTCTCGTTCGAACTTTCCAATATCAAGCGTTTAGAATTGCACTGTCAAGATGCGTTTTCACTACGCTATTGTAGCAGGTCTCGCTACTCTTTCGTTCGCGGCTCCGCAGGCTGAAATTCAAGGTCAAATTGATAGTGCTCTTGCTGAAATCAATGCAAATACCAATGGAAATGGCAATGGAAACGGCAACGGAAACCCAAACGGCAATGCCAACGAGAATGGAAATAGCAATTCAAACAGCAACAGCAACACCAATGTCAATGAAAACACAAACGTGAATATCAATGATAACGAGAATGGGCAGCACAGTTCCAAACCCGTCAAGCCAACTTCTGAAAAACCACCACAAACTTCTCATAAACCTCCACCAACCTCTCAGAGACCTTCCACAACGACCATCAGAAGCACCATCGATATCACTTCTACCATAACAATCCGTCCAACCAGCACCGTTCAACCCACAACTCGATCAAGTTCTTCATCTGGCTCCTCAGCCGGTACTATATCGGGTATTACAACCAGCCGAACATCAACTTCTAGCACCAGCAGAAGCACCTCTGAGTCGTCTTCAAGAACTTCTAGCACTTCCAGTACTTCAAGAAGCTCTTCTTCTTCTTCTTCTTCTTCTTCTTCTTCCATCTCTTCCTCTACCTCTTCCTCTTCCTCCTCTTCCTCGTCAGGCACTGGAACCGGCACTCGATCTGGTCTCACAACCAGTCGTGAAAGTTCCAAAACCGGTAGTGCTACAGGTGGAAGCTCTGGCGTCGTCACTACGACTTCTCCTCCACCAGTTACCACCGCTACCAACACCGGAAGCGGAACCGGTGGCAACTCCGGCATCGTTTCTACACCCACAACCCAAATTGTGCCTCCTCCCCAAACAACCACAAATGTTGTCCCACCTCTCATCCCAACCACAAATGTGGTTCCCCCTCCTCAAACAACCACAAATGTTGTCCCACCACCTCTCATCCCAACAACCAATGTGGTCCCTCCACCTGTTGTAACCAATACTGGTACTCAACAAGGCAACGTCGTTCCACCACCCAACACCAATTTCCCCGAAATCACCATCCTCCCCGTCCTCACAACAATCACCACCGTCAACCCACCCATCACAACCATTACCTCCATTCCCATTGCCCCCATTTTCCCTATCGTTCCTCTCACCATCTCAGCCAACAACAGAGTTCAAACCGTCCAAGGTGTCGAAATCACCGTCAACAGCCAAGCCACTGTTGTACCTGCCACAGAGGGTCCCGTCAATATCGTCTCTACAACCGTTGTCTCGGGACTTACCCTCACGACTACAATTCCCGCTGGTGTCATTACCACCTTTACATCTGCCGGGCAAACATTCACAACCCTGGCTCCTGGAGGCGGACCTGCTGAAACTAGTGCTGGAGCTATTCTTGGACAATTTACCGGTGGTGCTGAGAGATTTAAGGCACTTGAAGGCGGTGCTGTCATCGGAATTGTTGGCTTTGCTGTTGGAGGATTATTGTTACTTTAAAGTTTCCATTTTGGATTTTATCGATTTGATGTTTTGAATGATTTTTGCTGAGACTTTGCTTGGATTTGGATTTTTGTGGATTTTTTCTTGTTTTGCGTTGATATCTTAAACTGGTATTGCTTGCGTCTGATGCTTTGTTTGCGAGAAATTTCACAGGGTGGTAATGGACGAGAGGGGAAAACAATGGATACCTAATGCGATAGCAAAGATCGTTATGATTAATATAAATACACGGCAAAAAGATAATGCATTGTTAATGTTTAATTTATACATATCAAATTGGCATGTTATTAGTATCTATCTGAGCGTGAGATATCTATTATCTGTGGTGTACTTCGAGAGAAACGCTTATAGGTGCAAGACGTGTTTGGGGAAGCAGAAGGGTCCTCCTACTGATTCGTCATTGGTACTAAGTAGTATTATATACCGCATGCAGCATCCAGTCCATGAAGATATGCATCAAAATATAGAAAGAACATGTACAATTGTGTGCATACATTTTTCCATACTGTGGTATATGTAACACGCCCAAAGCGATACCCTGTCAGCATCAGTAAAACTACACGTCAACTAATCATCACTCCATCTCTTGCTACTCACCTCTCGCCTGACCTTGACCCACTGTACCCACCCACCACTTACTCTCCTCTCCCTCCACCTTCATTCATCATCCGCAATTTTCCATTCGAACTCGGGTTCAGATTCAGACATGCAACAAAATCTTTTCCACACCCAGTTCCTCGCTCTTCCCCCCCACACTTTGCCTCCCATCCAATACCATACACCGCACAAACTCGGGCCCAAATTCAGACATGCAACAAATCCCTTGAATTCTCCTTCATCACCCGTACTACTAAACATCTTCCAACCCCATTCGCTAGTAAAAATTCATGAAGGAGTCCCATCGTACGACATCATACTATTTCGCTTAGAAATCGTACGACTGTTGTTGGTGGTGAGACGCTTATTTTGCCTATTTTGCCACTTTTACAGGGGCCAACAGGAATAGGCGAGGATCATAAGATGTAGATGCAGTACATTTGATTAGTAGGATGGGTAATGGAAGGAAGATGCATATTATCAATGTGCAATTGAAGGAGGCATTCACGGTGGTTGAGCAGCATTCACGAAATCGCAACATAGCGAGGTAGCATATGATCTTTTAAAGTATAATAATATTGGAGAACTAAATTGGAACACGGGGAGTTTGAGAGGCAAAAAACGAAATCAACATACGCTGTGGAAGGCAATTTGCCTGTTGGAGTACAAAATCTATTGAATATGTTAGCAAAGTTGCTTCCAAGTATTTTCAAGAATACAATGATGAAGTTGAGAGTAATCAGACAGCAGTTGGTACTTTTTTTGTCCACATAGAAGATTACAGAACAGGTCTGTGAATAAGGTATATCATCATATTACTCTCCATCCTCCGACGTAGTGAAAAATTTGCTTACCAAAATTGTGTCATCCAAGCTTCCTTTTTTTGAAGAATGAATCCATGGTTCTTTGAGTGGAATCATGTTTTAAGCTTCCCAGTCCACCTCGGGTTTTCTTGAGCCCTTTGAGGTGATCTATATTATTAACAGATTTTATTGTTAGTGACATGGTAGCCTCGACCCTGTCAACAGCATGACTTGGAAGCTTCGATGCGTCTTGAACATTCGATTGATTATCCAATACTGAAGGCACCGAACCAACTTTAGAGGGTGACACTTCTTGTATAGGTTTGATATCCAGATCCAAGTAGCCCGTATTGGACCAACCACCAAGATATTCCAGACCACGTTCGGGACGTGGAACATCAGGACCAATTGAGACATTCTTTGGATTGAATCTTCTTAAGATGGCTCGCCAGAGATGATTCAAAATGATACCATGGGCCACGATGGCAATGATATAATCATTCAGATTGTCTTCATCGATGTAGAGAAGGTGGATCAGATGCTCATTGACGAATGTTTCCATCCGCCTCTTCATCGATTCCTTCGACTCCACATCTTTGAACCCTGAATCCATTCGTTGTGCCTCAGAATGAACACCCTTGCCAATTTTGTTTGAATCTTTGGAACGTTCATGAAATGCTTTCTTTTCATAGTGACCAAAGTCTTGCTCTCGAAGGAGCTCAAGCTTTGTCACCTCGAAAGAAGAGTTATTGTCCTGAGCAACACGAATAGCTTCTGCTGTCTTGATAGCTCGCTGAAGATCGGAAGAGAATATGCGGGAAACTTTCGAAGCTGCGAGATAGGTGCCAAGTCGATTGGCTTGCAATACGCCATGATTCGTTAGTGCAGAGTCTGTGACGCCGGCACTTGAAAAAGTTAGTTACAAGAAGATTGAAAATGTTACAAAGCGGGATTAGCTTACTATACGTTGGCAACATTATCGACGGTCTCGCCGTGTCGGATTAAAAGAAGCCTCATCCCGCCATATGGGAGAGTAAAGAAACAATCATCAATGGAATTTTACCATAATTGTTGGATTGTACAAAGTTGTTGTGCGTTGATGACAATTTTGGAGGCAAAACATTTTATGGTTGCGAGGAAAATGTAAAATTTGATTTGCCGAGCTTGCTTAGTCATCGTGCTAGCTGCATCCATCTTTACTCTAGGCCGGATTTGAGCCGATGACATGTCCATCGGATCACCATTCTAGCTGTCTTGCGGTTATCATCCTTCGAGCCTTCCTCACAATATGCATTCAATATTTCACTATCATGAATCAGAAACTTAGTTTCCTCCAATCGCATTTTCCGAGTATCTGATAGTTCGGTTCTCTAATGCATGATGGTGTGTCACCACAGATTCCTTACCTCGAAGCTCAAGAAATCTACTCTGAGCTTGAAAACACGGAAAAAAAAAGCTAACACTGAGATACATGAAGCTAGGTTTGATATTGAATGGTCCCATTGTTTGCAATTTTGAGAGTATAGGAATGCCCTCTTCAATGAATGAGCAGGATGTTGACAAGCCAATTGATTTCTCTCAAGGTACAAACACTCTATGAATGGTTTCAATTCTCCTTTTCTACCTTATGAGTTGAAAGCTTCCTACCGATTTTCATTGTGTAAACTTTTACAGGCTTCAAAACAAGGCTTCCGAATATTTGGAAGGTGCCAGGTTTCTTAAGTTTCGAGGTACCGCCGATCTGTACTCAAAATTCACAAATCAGACCTGGGGGAAGGATTGAACGTCATGTTGTAAGATAGCTCGGTTCGGCTTTGGTCACCTTCGTTCGGGCCTTCCTCTCTCATGACAGCACTAGTTAGTATAGTTAGAAAGAGTCAAACAGACCCTTGTGTCTTCCTCTAACCATCATATCAACACAACACCACCAGAACATCTACTCATTACGGGACAGAGCTCTGATCACCTCTTCATAATAACAATTGGTTTCCCATTCTCCACATCAGAGCATCGATACAATGGACTCGTTGGACCAAAGAAATGTACAAGACTTCTTTTGGGGTGCAGGACGTCTATTTGGATTTTCGATACTTTTCTATCTGGAGTACATGAAATACATGCTTCGAGAATTACGAGACCAGACCAAAGACCCGACACGTGAAGCCGTTGAAATATTGCATTTATTGCTTGGATTCTTCGCATTAGGCGTACAGGTATTTGTCTTTCTCGATGGCTTCACACCAACTCTGATGCGGATAACATCTTTCCTGATCAACAGATCTGATAAGATCGCCCGACTCCTGCTGTGGACCCTTCGACCGTCAATTGTGACGTTCATTTTATGCTCGTCTATGGTACTTCAAATTGTGCACTTGTGCGTCCTCATCCTTGTTATCAATGAGAGCTGGATTGGAAGGAGTGTGATATGTAGCACTTCGTGCCCTACACCATCAAACAGTGTCCAAGGCGGTTCGGTCTACCGCGCGATCAATGGTTCTTTCTGTTCTATTGAAAGGTAGCAAGGAATGAGCTCGGATCATGAAGCAATCATCTTCGGATATTGTTAGAATCTATGCAAAGCATTGATTGCTTCAGCAGCGATATTGAAGGTTGATAGTGAATGGATGGCCTCTAGCAATTCTTCATCCAGACGTTAAGAAGGTAAGCCGATGAACTCAAGCAAGGCTAGAGACTCGATGGATGTCTGCTAAAATTCTCAGAATTTTAGTCTAGATGCATTCCTTGTATGCCTCTTGCACCAGCTTCATACACCGAACAGTCTCTCGAACAATCTCCTAGAAACTGATTCCCACCTCGGCACATGACTTGTATATGTTTTATGTTAGATCAGCAAAATGTTAGTAGTGGTACAAAGGGTTATTGATATGGTTCAAATTCGTGCTTAAAGCCTGTATTCGATTCAGTAATTGCATAGTCTTGTTTTATTTTTTTATTACTGGTTGTTGCAAAAGCGTACTGTGGGTCGTCATAGATTATTCGGAAGAGACAAGATAGCTTTGCTCCTAATGGAATCTGTACTACCTTTCTTTAGCCATGGAACTTGCTGGATATGAGAATATATATCTTCACCATAGAAACTTGCTGTATTCTTCTTCACACTTCTAGATATCTTTCATATCGACTTGACCGAGTTCCAAGAGCTCATCCAAGATTTCTTATATATACATTTATGTCAATAAGCAAAAAGTAGTATACACACGGGCCATGTCAAATGGGTGGTAACCAAGTTCTTCGAACGCCTCAGCCCACTTTTCCATCTTACAACAATATTCAATATCCAACAGAACTTACACAACTCCACCACCACAACTTCAAATCACTTATTATTAACAGGAAATCATTCCTCGGGATCTCTAATATCGTTCCACAAATTTTCGGAGGAAAATTCGAAGGTAAGTTGACCTTTTTATTGTAGTAGATTTTCACCTTCTCGGTTCATTAGTTTTGTGGTTCTGCATTTTAGGGGAACGAAGTTCGCTTCATCAGCACTCGCCAATTTTACTTCATCGACTGATTGTAGTGACTTTCATTGGGGTGTCATGAACGATGAACGATTTCTTTTTCACTTTGTATTTCATTTTATATTATGTTATATACTTGGCTGTATGTAACTCGCACTTGCCTTGCTATCAAATGGCATAAAGTATATGATATATCGACGATACTTCATACTATACGACAACAACTAGTGTTGATGATAGCAACCTTGTTGTCTTCCATCCTTAGCATACACTTTCAGTACAGATCAACTCTATACTCAAGGAGCATTTGCAATGCCTGGCACTGTCGTTTAGTTTCTTCATTGCTGTATTGATAGATTCGTCACTAACAAGTCTCAATGAATCTAGGATTCAACAATGGTAAATATGGACAACGAATCCAATCCCAACCCGGATGATGACAATCCAAATGTCACAAATGACAACAACCAAGAAAATCTCAATGAAAACATCTTCGGCCTTCCCAATATGTTCAATAGTGCAAACTTCGCCCAGGCTAGTATTCTTTCTAAAGACGCTGAAAGCGCCATCGCAAGCCCAGACACTGGCTACACCAGCATTTTCTCTGATGTTCCTAGCAGCACCGATAATAGCCCCGCTTCTGCTTACACAGCTACATTTTCAAATGGCTCAGGTAGTACTATGAGTAGTCCAGCTTCTGCTCAAACTAGCATATTTGGAAGTGTTTCAAATGCTCATTCGAAAAGCCCTCTTCCTACTCAGACTAGCATCTTCGGAGATGTCCTGAGCAGCAAGTCGACCAGCACAACCTCAGCAGAAGCCAGTACTTTCTCGAATACACCAGATAGCACCGTTGAAAATTCGAACACTGTTCGGTCCATCATCCCAAGCTCTGAAGTGGATCTATCTCCTGCTGACCCTGAGCCAGAGCAAGATCTCGACATCGATCCAGACGTTGGCCTCGATGACGACTCAGACGTCGAAATGGACAGCAACACCAGCTCCCACTCCGCCAGTTCCTCTCCCGAAGCCCCTGATTTCAACGCCCCTGCTGCTCCAGCCTTAGAAACTTTCTCTCTCCCCTCCTACCGCTCCTCTCCATCCATGCGATGTAACATGCCACGTAATTTTCAAGAACTAAGTATCATGTTCAATAGCACGAAACGTACTGCCGCTATCAAAGGACAAGCGCAACGAATTGGAGTCGCTGGCGCTGATAGAGACGATAGCGGAACCTATGATCCTAGTTTGGAACGGAAACGAAATACAAAGAGTACGAGAGTGACGACTAAGAAGAATAAGGAGAATAGAGAAGAAACTGTGAGGAGCGTGGGTACGGATAGTGGGAGAAAAACGAAGGAACAGGGTTCATTTGAGCTGATAGTTACGATTAAATTGACTAGTGAAAGAGGATTGGAGTATTTGAGAACGATCACCCCGGGTCCTGAAGATGACGAGAGGAACTTTCCACCGATTCATGAAGCGGATGATGAAGATTCGAGTGATGATGATGAAGATAAAGATGAGGAGGTTGCCATTGATTATCCGACCCCCTCTACACGGAGGAAGAGAATTAAAACTTCACATAACCGAAGGCACGTCCTATTTTATTTTCCCTGATTACTTTACAGAAAAATAGAACTAACAGTCACAGATCCGACGGTTTAACTATCTCTGATCTCAACAACGGCCATCCTCAACGACGCGGCTGCAAAGGCTGCTTCGAAGCCGGCGACGACGAATGTTCTCTCATTGAATATAGTCACGAATGGCCTTGTGAGAGTTGTGAAGATGCAGGAATCGATTGCGAACTCATCATTCCCCCCGAATTAAAACTCTCCTGTATGCGCTGCAAAGAAAAGCTGCGAAAACGATGTTCCTATGCGGATGATGGTGGAAAGGATGTTGATTCTTGCAAAGCTTGCGAAGAAGCTGGCGCGAAATGTATTGCTGGTCCTAAAGCTGGTTCCGGACTTTCGATGCGGATGACGGATGTTCTTGAGAATGTTGGAGCTAGGAAAAAGGGAAGTTCGAATAGTAAGAAAGAGGTTGCGAAGAAATTGTTGGCGACAGCTATAGCTACAGTCACCAACGTTGCGAAACCAAAAGCGGCGCCCAGGAAGTACGTTTCGTGCAATCGATGCAGGCTCGAAGTCAAAGCCAAATGTACGCTGGAGCGCGATGAAGAAGGGCCATGCAATCGCTGCATCAAAGCAAAAGTACCTTGTACTTTCACAATGCTCCCACTCCCAGTCCCCACACCTTCTAATAAGGAAAAAGACAAACCAAATCGAAAAGAGGCCGTTCCAGTTCTCCGAACCCCTCAAGATCTTACTCAAACTATCATTCTCGAATCAACTCGACTCAACGATCGAGAGTGGCGCACTACAAATCCCTATGCTCGACGCACCAAAGCGCAACAAAAGGCCTACGAGAGAGCTATATCATCTTCTTCGCCAGACGAGCAATTCTTGATCACTAACTCCGCCAACAAACACAGTTCCCTGAGCAGATTGCCTTCATACGACCTCAAATACTCCACACAAGCTACAAAGCAACTCATTCCTCCAACGTTCGCTCTCCATCACAAGGGTATCCGCACCATGATCATTCCCACTTCCTTTGCGCACCCTCTCACATTCAACTACAA